AGAGGTAAGTTGGGTTAAATCGTCCTATTTTGATACCAAGAACCCATGGTAGCGCGTTGTACAGACCTTTTAGGGACACCCTGTATATACCGCACATAGCAAGCCTATTGAAAATGGACCAGATCCAATGACCCCGTAGGGTCACACCGAGGTGCTCTTCCGCTGTTTTAGATCCGCTTTAGGGATCTATTTTAAATTTAATTACCTACAACCCCTCTAACAGGTTTAAATGAAATGGACAAGGTATAATATAAACTTATTTCTGAACACACTGTACAAATATTCGACTAGTTTATCATTTATGGTGCCCCAATCTATGGTTTTCATATTTAACATAAAATAAACCCCTGAAGAGCATCTAAAAAAAGCGGCAGTGCACCTCGGTGTGACCCTACGGGATCATTGGATTTGACCCATTTTCAATTATGGCTTGTTACATGTGGCATATAAGTCTATTGTGCAAAGTTTCAACCGAATAGGTTCAAGCGTTTGGCAGGGACAGAGAAGCGTGACCCCACAGGGTCATTGGATTTGACCCATTTTGAATAGGTTTATATGCGGCATATAGGTCAACTGTGCAAAGTTTGAACTAAATAGGTTCAATCGTTTGGCAGGAGGCGTGACCCCAAGGGGGGCATTGGATTTGACACATTTTCAATAGGCTTATTACTTGTGGCATATAGGTCAACTGTAAATAGTTTGAACCAAATCGGTCTAAGCGTTTGGCAATTATCGTGTTCACGTACGGTTAGAGGGTCAGACGGACACCATCGATCTATATCCTATAAAGCTTCCATCGCTTTGCTCTGCCGGTTAGGCTTAATAAAATGTGAGGGATACTAACGAACGATTTTGAAAGATCAAATCGATTATGCCTCGGTAGGAATTAAGGTAATTACTGACCAAGTTACGTTAACAATTACGATTCAACACTGCATCCCTTTAACAGGTACTTAACCGCTTTATAACAAAAGAGAAGTAACTGGCTAGTTAAATATGTTGCGCTTCAATCCAGTTGTTCGGATTCTTATCTGGTCTCCCCATCTGACCGGTGCAATCAAGAATGGGTTCAAAATGGCCAAAATCTCCCTGATAAAATCGAAACAGGTACCTACTGCGGCTATTTAAGTTGAACACCCTCCGCCGATATTGAGTTCTGCGCTTGCGCCAATTCCAAGGTTGAACTACTGCGCGTGCACCAAGCCACTGAAGATCATCGTGGTTGTTGTCTAAACTATCAGGTTGGTTTAACAAAAATAGGTCTGTTCATCAGAAACAGATAAAATGACCATCAGAAATAGATCTGTTCATCAGAAACAGGTCTGTTTATCAGATCTCTTTTTGTTAAACAGACCTGTTAGTTTAGACAACCTGAGATGACCTGATATTGCGATGATACTAGTGGATTATAAGTTTCAACAACAGCCACGATGACCTTCAGTGACTTAGCGCATGAGCTGTAGTTGAACGTTGAAATTGGCGGATGCGCAGAACTCAAAGTCAAATTGCCCTCATATCGTCCTTGCTTTACTACTCACGAGAGAGCGCAAACCCAATTAATACGAATAAGTTGGTGAGATAATTAATTTACGTGGGCTCAACCATCAGATATTGGATGTTTAAAAAGACAATGCGCCAAGATAAGGAAGGGGTTATCAAATGGCGGATTATTTACGTATCGATAATCTTATAAAATCCTCCAAGAAACGTGCTTCAGCTTGCTTCGCGATCGCAACAACTGATCACAGCGAAAAGGGTCATTTACGAGAGACACTAATAAATAATTTGTGCAATTAGACCATTAGAATTAAAGACACTTTCGCTTCGTCGGCGTGTTGAAAAATCTCTTTGGGCAAAATGTGAACATAAGTATTACCACTTTAGACTTGCGCGGTCTGACACAAAAAGAATCAGGTAGATGGCGTTAGTTAAACTTTAATAAAGCCAGCAAATCTCAAACAAAAAATCACTACAAAGGACTGTAAAACAAGAACACTTTAAAAAGAATTATTCATTTTAAAGTACATAAAGAAGCATTTTACAAAAAAACAAACAGCAAAAATTTTTTTAAACATTCCTCCAGTCTGGCCTTAAAGCTCGTCATCACATCACGCACGGACTTTGGCCTCACAGTCTTCTTTCTTGACATCTCTTCAAAGTTAATAAACGATACCTTAACTTCTGGCTGTTTCCCTGATGTTCTGAAGATTGCATCGGTCGTACCATTGTATAAGGCAGGAGATATTAATGATCCGGCAAATTATAGGCCAATTTCAATATTGCCTTCATTCTCAAAGGTATTTGAAAAGGCAATGAGTATGCAAATCTCCAACTACTTTGAATACAACAATCTCTTTTACACTAAGCAATTTGGTTTTCGCAAGGGAAAAAGTACTTCAGATGCTTTGGTTGAATTTGTAAATAATACTTTGAACTGTTTCGAAGAAGGTGCCTATACAATTTCAATGTTTTTAGATTTGTCCAGGGCTTTTGATTGTATATCACACAATACATTGTTGCAAAAATTACAAATAACGTATAATTTTGACGATTTCAGTTTAAAGTTAATTTCTTCCTATTTATCTAATAGATTTCAGCACGTCTTCCACAATGGAGTATTGTCAAGTCAACTATCTGTAATTAGGGGAGTTCCCCAGGGGTCCATTCTCGGACCACTTTTGTTTTTGATTTATTTTAATGACTTCCCTAATTATATAAACATCTATGCAGATTGTATTTTATTTGCGGACGACACAACGCTCGCTATAAAACGCAAAGGGTTAAATGACATTTTGTCTGTTCACAAACAAGTTGAAACTCTGGCGTTAGAATGGTTTATACCAAACCAATTAAAGCTTAACGAAACCAAATCGGAAAACCTGATGCTAACTCTAAGACATCATGCATTTCAAAACAATGCTTCTGTAAAATTTTTAGGTGTACATATTGATCCGGTCTTAAACTTTGGAGTACATGTCGATTTTATTTGTAAAAAAATTAGCAAAAACATATTTGTGTTACGACGTTTATCCGATAATGTCTCAAGGAACGTTTTAGTGAGTGCTTATTATTCGCTAATACATTGCATATTAAGCTATGGTATCTTAGTCTGGGGAAATTGTCCTGCAGCGCGAAGAGTTTTTGGTCTCCAACGACGTGCAGTACGAATAATAAATGGTCTTGGATATAGGGATGATTGCCGAATGACTTTTATTGACCTAAAAATATTAACCTTACCATCACAATATTTGTTAGATAGTATTATGTATGCGAAAGATAATCTTCATGAATTTAAATTACAAAGTGATATACATCATCATTTCACAAGATCCCGAACTAACATAAGGCCAAACTATTGCCGTTTAGCCAAGACACAAAATGGACTAGTGTACGTCTCCCAAAAACTCTTCAATCATCTTCCAACGCAAATAAAAGAGTTGACTAGACTACAACTAAAAAAGGAATTAAAAGAAATACTATTAAAAAAAGCATATTACGCTATTGAAGAATTCAACTGTGATAATCTATCTAGTCTTATATGAAACCTGTCAATTTATTTTATTTTTCGATTTTATTTTATATACTCTTTATTTATTCCACTAAATGGTAACTCGTGCCTTGATGCGTATCAGTTTTGTATGTTCGTCCCATCATATGTCCTTTGTTTTTATATTACACCCTTGTGTCACATATATGATAAGTGTAAGCGTAAGCTAAATTATTATTATTATTTTATGTAAATCAAAATTTTAATGTGTAGTGTACGTCCATATTTATATTTATTGAAAATGTGTAGTTATATCTCGAATGTTGCTGTTTTATATTTAGGTTATTTACATTGTGCATTATTGACATGTCAAAGCCACATTTGGTACTCTGACAATAAATGATTTGATTTGATTTGATTTGATTAGTCAAAACCTACTTTTCAATAGTACATGAAGAAAGTATCTAACGACCGATTTCGGTCAATGTTAAAGTGGTTGCGTGGTTTTGATAAAACGATTTGGCAGAGTAGGACCGATGCTGTGGGATCCAACGCTCCGTTGTGACTAAATGTAATTGACTCCTGATTTTCACGAATCTGCACCTCATTACCAACTGAATTTAAATATATATACAGTACGAACCAAAATGTATGAAAATGAAACAAAACTTTAAAACAAAAACCCTGCCCCCTGATGGTGCATCTCAGATCGCGATAGGAGTTAATCCCTGTCTACTTTACTAATGATCATGATATTGCCCGTACTACTTCTTAGTTTATTACACTTTACCACCCAACAATTCTATCAGGACTCAGGACTTTTTCTTTAGAAACCCTTTGAAAATATTTCCAGGCAACATCTATAAGAAAAAACTTCTAGAAAATCTCTTGTAGCGTCTTTGAAATAGAAAATTTTATAGAATCTATTTACAAATCTTCATAGAAAAGAAATCTTAAAATATTCTGTTCGGTGTGTATACTACGAAACATTCGTATGATACTTCTTGGATAGTCATCGCTAGGAATTTTACTAAAATGTTCTTGTCAACCAACTTTTTATGAAGTTATTTCAAAAACAGTTAAAAAAATTCGTAAATACGTTTTAGACATCTAATTCTAAAAATTCGCTCTGTTTTGAAAACTAATTTGAAAAGTAATTTCTCAGAAATGTGCTCAGAAAAAGTAACAAGTTACGCAACACGTTGATTTTGTTAATCTTGAATGCATTACGGTTACGTACCCTTAAAGGTCCATTCAGACCGATGCGGGATTGCGGGAACCTGATCGACGCGGGATATATTTGTACAGCGGGATATGCAAGTATAACGCATCGGTATGCATACTTGCATATCCCGCTGTAAAAATTTATCCCGCGTCCGTCCCGTTTCCGTTCCCGCATTCCCACGTCGGTTTGAGTGAACCTTAAGATAAGTAGACTGTCGGGATTATTATTGTATCTGCAATACTTGTATGAAATGTAAATCACGTAGTAACGCCTGCAATTTGTTTTCAGCCAGTACCACCGGAGGAGGAATTCGTAAATATGTCTTCTGGTGCTGTGCGTGTGGAGGGTTGGCGACAATACTGGGAGCGCTATTTTTGGCGGTTTATTTTCTACTACGATCTTATACATCCACCTTAGGATATTTTGAAACTATTCCTACTTTTGTGCCTGCAACCATGGTTAGTATGACACGAGTGGTCGGACAATACAAGGAAATTGGCATCTGGTAGCTATAAAAGAATTAATTGTTTTTTATTGTTGCAGTTAATTTTAACTGGATTATGTGTGATATGCCTTGCCAGACGAAAAAATCGATATAGTTATTTGGTAAGTATTGGATAATTCTTTGAGGCCGTCTTAAGGAAGATTGCACCTCTTTCAGATTAAGGTTTGTGGAATATGCTGCTTAGTGTGTGCGTTAACTTGTGTTCTTGTGACTATTACGACAACTGTAATACACATGAATCGGTTACAAACATTACGTGAATGTGTTTATACTCAAAAGACTCGGACTTGTACCTGTTACTCTGTTTTACTTGAAGCTCACGCGTCAACCGATGAAGGTAAGCACTCAAATGTTGTCTTACTTATGAGTATTAATATATGATTGTGTATTGTATACTAGAATGACTTAATCGATTAGTTTATAAAGTTACCAGTCGGCCATTTTAGTTCCTCAAATATACTTTTCTCGTAGGTACGTGTTCTTTGCATGCTGTGCTGAAAATTCATATCATTAATGATAAAATCTGGAATTTGTATGTGTTGGAAAAGGTGTGCTTTTACCGTAGTATAAAAATTGTGACCGACAATATAACATAATTAAGATTTTCCGAAAAATATTTTTTTATTACATTTACATTTTGCTTGAGGAAATTTCACAAAATGTCATGTATTAATTATACAGACTGGAACGTACTTAGGGGAATGACTAATTAATAAACCTTTTATACTTTTTATGCTCTTTATAATGTCACACCTTGCAATATGTATTTATATAACCTGGCGTTTTGACTTTATATGGGTACGCATTACCTACCTATGCATAAATTATAATTTATTGCCCGGTAAATGGCTATGGTGCACGCACGAATAAGGGAACGTGATCGTCAAGGGCAAACAGGTGAATTAGGCATTCCACTTATGCAGGAAAAAAATATGTTCTGCAACAAAAGGTCGTAAAAATTAATTATTCTATCGATTTTTAAGAATCGCTAACCGACCACAATGTACAGTTGCCATTTGTCTATACATATCATAGAAAACCATAGGTGAACATAATATTTCGCAATCCCACTGAAATTCAATTTAAATTTCATGGCACAGTTACGCGTCAAAACTGTGACACATATGAAACTGAAGTAGGAAAAAATGATAAGATCGTAAAGAACGTACCCAAAAAGCAAAATCCTAGGTAAAGCCGTCAGTTGTATGTGTTGTGGTTGCAAAAATTCAAGACCAAACACAAATTTCGAGGCAGAAAATGTGTGAGTTGTACTGAATGAACTACGTAACACACTTCACGATACACAGTTTTCTAATTGCGCATATAACAGTTTTTTATCCTCGTCGCCAAATTCTGGGTATTAAGAACGAAACTTTAAATAGCAATTTTATTAACGTTACATACATCTTGGTACATTTTATTACTAATATCATCATACAGGCTGATTCAGATTCGAGGGCCACTATGGGGATCTCGGAAACTGTAAGAGATAGGTAGGTAGTAGTTTAAATTTGGAAAAGTTGCTTACTTTGATACTTAACAAAATGCAGTTTTGTAACTGAAAAAATTCCGACCAAACATTACTATTTCTTAAATATTGTTAAAATATCTTCTTTTTTACCTGGCAAACCTTATCTTGGGTGGTGTATGTTAACCGGAGACGAAACGTCAGACTTAAAAAATTTAAAACTAGCAAAAAAGTGGCTATAATAATGTGTCATTTATTTCGAAATTTCTTTTTAAAACTTCGGTAAAAAAATTTGTTTTTTTTTTGGATATCGCGGAAAGTAGTCGGAATTTTTTCAGTTTCAAAACTGCATTTTGTTAATCATCAAAATACGCAACTTAGCCAAATTTAAACTACCTACCTATTCCTTACAGTTTCCGAGATCCCCATTATGGCCCTCGAATTTGAATCAGCCTGTATAATACTGTCAATCTCATGACACTACAGTTTCGCAAGAAAAAGGATGAAAAAAGAAGGAATATCACTCGAGAAAACAAATTGTGTTTTGTTTGTCCTAAATCGCAATTGGTCTAGTAAATGTCCTAACTAAAACCGAAAATGTAGAAACGGTGAATGTAGTACGTGGCACCATGCGCTTCTTTATTTGAAAAATTCACCAGTTTTCAAGAATAAAGAGAAGGTTGAATCAAGTGAAGACGAACGTTCTTATTCATCTGTAAATGTTCAAATGATCGATGTGCACGTGAACGTGAAGAAGGTTCAATCACTACATAATTTGACTATAATCAAAATCCCCGTCAAAGGACCAAGAGGATATGAAGCTGTTCATAATCTCTTCGACAGCAGTGAATCATTCAGCTTGATAGAAGGAGACGTAACTCATCGACGTGGCCTAAATGGAAAGCGATCAAGTTCAATATGTGTTCGGTGAAATTCGTCATGAAGATTCAATGCAAGTAATTCGCTCTGTTGAACCAGCACAAAAGAAGGAAGAATTCTACAGAATGCAAGGAGTTCAGACTATTAGGAAATTAAATCTACGTCCTCGTAAGTTTGATGCGGAAGCCTTCCGTAAGAAGCACCCTCATCTCAGAGGAATGAAAGCAATGTCCAACTGGAAATGATCCTTGGTATGGTACACTTCACTGCACGTGAAATATTGGAATTGACTCCTGGGATAATCCCTGCAGCAATAAGAAGTTTACTTGGATGGTATGCTGTCTACGACTCAATTGATATTGCTAAGCTCCTGCTCAAGAAATTATGCCTAATTGAGAGCACATCATGCAAGAATTTTTTCTCTTAAATCTCTTGGAGGGAAACCAGCTCCAACAACAAAAAGTAAAGAACATGAGATTGCTCTCCAACAACAAAAAGTAAAGAACATGAGATTGCTATGAAACTACAGTCAAGAAATTCAATCGATGGGAAACTGGACTCCTGTGAAAGGATGGCCACGCTGAGTTACCATTTAGTGACCACATGGCTGAAAATAGGCTTCGCAAAATGGATAGGTCTCCATAATTTGCTGAACTATGTAAATAAAAGTTCAACGATTACATTGATCATGGTTATCTTGCCCCAAAATCTACCGAGGATGCGACCGGAAACGGTTCCGGAGTGCGGTTTGAACGCAGGCAGTGGCAAAGAAGGAAGAGAGTGGTACATTTGCCTGGGTTTTTTGCGTACAACCCATCAAAAAAGCCACGTTTGGTTTTCGATGCAACAGCGAATTTCTTCAAAAGGTCCTGATCTCATCCAATCTCTGGTGGAAGTGCTTTTGAGCTTCACAACATCGCAATAACAAGTGGTAGGTATCAAGGAAATGTTTCATCAGGTCCATTTATGGGAGGAAACCCTGCCAAAATATACCTACTGTATAGAGGGATGGAACGAAATAAGAAACCAGCAACATATCACATGACTGTATTGCCTTTCGGTTCAGTGTCATCACCATGTCCAGCTATATTTACGAAGAATCTCATCGCTAAAACATACAAAGAAAGGTTACCGATTGCAGTTAAAGCAATTCTAGAGCAATGTATGGAGCTGACCATCTCGGTGGAGCAGAGTCCCGAAAAGAAGCCATCAAGATATAATAAGATATGTGTGGGGTTATGGAGGATGGAGGCTTCCCTTTAGTTAAATTGAATTCCTGATCAAAAGAGGTATTGCTTGAAATTTTACGTGAAGTGAAAAATAAAGATTTTGTCAACAAGAGTGAAATTCCGTGTCAAAAGACATTAGGAATTCTATGGGATCTTGTAAGAGATTGCTTCAAGTTTAATTTAAACTTTCACCGCATTCCAAAGGAAGTTGTGGAAGAAATACGAAGACCAACCAGAAGGGAAATGGCGAGCTTTGTTATGACTATTTTTGATCCACTTGGTTTTCTTGCACCCATCAAGATGAAAGGATTGTTCCTCCTACAGTCAGTTTGCAGATCCCAGACGATGATACATTGAGGCAACGAAATACAGGAAGCAATTATGTCATATTAGAGGAAGTGGATCCAGAAATTGGAATATGAAATAGAAGATACGGCCAGAGTTGGACTGGGTCAAGCATAGAGTGACTCAGTGACCCAGTTAGTTTACTGACCCGGTGACCCAGTTGACCCGGTGACCCAGTTTGACCCGGTGACCCAGCTTGACCCGGTGACCCAGCTTGACCCAGTGACCCAGCTTGACCCGGTGACCCAGCTTGACCCAGTTTGACCCGCTGACCCAGCTTGACCCGCTGACCCAGCTTGACCCAGTGACCCAGCTTGACCCGGTGATCCAGCTTGACCCAGTTTGACCCGGTGACCCAGCTTGACCCGGTGACCCAGCTTGACCCAGTGACCCATCTTGACCCAGCTTTACTCAGTGACCCGTCCTGACCTGGTGGCCCAGTAATTAAATTATTGTTAGGTATCATCCAAAACAATTTCAAGTAACTTTTAATTTAAAAAAAAACTTCCTCAATAATATTCGGCAACAAGCACGTAGCCCAATTTCATTCAAGAGAACTAATACCTACAAAAATCAAATGCATTTGTTTATAGTTTGTAGTCAAGTAGTCAATGAAAGTATTTAGAGAAAAGATTTATTTGGATTAAGCTAACTAGTAGAAAAAAATTAAATGTGAATGAACACCTGTAAGCAAACTGGTAAGCCCTGAAGCAAAGAAATACCATTATTCTAATACAATTCGGGACATGGAAAGTTTTTTACGGCAGTATTAAAGCAAACATCACAGAAATGGCAGTTGTCAAGCAATCGAGTATTATTTTCAACAAACCAGCATTTCATTTATTGCATAATCTGTACACTTGAACCGAGGGCACTGACTTAACTGCGTTATTCGATCAAACTAGGTGACTGGGTCGAATTGGGTCCCCGGGTGAAATTGCGTCGCTGGGTCAAACTGGGTCAAACTGGGTCAAGTTTGGTCACTGGGTCACACTGGGTCAACTGGGTCTAACTGAAAAGAGTATGACGTGACCCAGCGACCCAGTGACCCAGTTTAATTTAGTGACCCAGTTGACCCAGTGACCCAGTGCAACTCTGGATACGGCCCAGCCTCAATCTTGAATGCAACGTCAGCTTCATATTTTCACCGACGCAAGCTCAGAAGCTTACGCAACAGTCGCGTTCCTCGGGATAAACACAGGGGAAAGTATTAAAGTTTCATTCGTTACTGGAAAATCTTATGTTGCTTCAGTGAAAGGATTCAGGGCAATTTTGAGCTGAACTGATCTGTGCCAGATTAGCGCAAAACAGTATGTCGACCTTTCAAGGGAGAATTGAAATTCAGACATCCCATTACTGGACAGATTCTAGAACAGTATTATTGTGGATAAGAAGCACCCACAAACGGTTCAAGATGTACGTTGCTAACAGAATAGGAGAAATTTTCGACTTATCAAAGGTAAACCAGTGACACTGGATGCCGAATTTCCGACTAAGCTCAACATAACAGATGATGGAACTAGATCAAGTAAACCAGCAGACTTCGAGAATTATCGCGAGATAGACGGAGAAGATATCTTGATGAAAGAAGAAGATGGCCTGCAGAAGCGCCACCAAATGAACAATCATTATCTGAAATTGAGGAAATACCACTAGCGTGTACTACTGCACTTTCCAGTAATGAATACTCGAGTTGGATAGCAGCCTATGATGTTATTTCTGTTATTCCTAATCCCTACCGGTTGGATCAGATTGTCATTTACCGTAGCCCGATGTCTTACCCTGAAAAGAAGATTCGATAGAGCGAAGCATATACCTCTCCGCAAATGAGAGGACTTTCTGAAAAGCTACAAATTAAATGATGCCAAGAAGAAAGTTTCACAGAAGAACTCAAGCTTCTGTGGAGTTCTCAACCCATTGTAAAGGGAAAGCTCTTTGGGCTTTCACCGAAGCTGAATATAGAAAGACTATTCGTTACGAGTGGACGATTTCATTGAAAAGTTGCCTCAGCGTTACATGAACCTCTAATTTTGTTTCGACTAATATTTTATTTGAAAATAAGATGGCACATTAGTACAGAAGGTGATTTTTCATGGATAACTGTCGCACCATTTCCCTCTTTTACGAGAAACTTTGTAATAGAGCGATGCTCTAAGGACTTACTACACTATCATTTGTTTGAGAACCAAGCAATTTATTTGTATGGCGTCATTACCATGGCTAAATAGATAATCTCTCAGGAATAAGTCGATGGTACAAATCTAAAACTGAAAACCTGAAACCTCCACTGTATTCCGTTACCGAGATCTCAGTAGATTTATGTAAAAAATCCGGATCCTTATCATTGTTAATGCCGATTAGTATCTGTCTGGGACGCCCTCATTGTAACAGAAATGCAGAGTGACGGTACGGGTATGAAATAAAGTGTGACGTTTGTTTTCAAATGGATCGCTTAAATCTTCTTGTGGAGACACCATTCCACGTCTGGCCGTTGGAAACAAAACAGTGTATATTAAAACATCAAAACACGTAACACGTTTCGTCATAGCTGTCATCTTCAGTGGATAACTAAAGTGAAAAAGTCAAAGTGAAAATGGAAAGGTTCTTCATTCAAATGACCTAAGCTTTTACTGCTATAGAACAGAAATGTGCTCAACGCTTGGCACGAAATTCTTGTAAAATTAATGGGTTTTTTTTCCAACACTGTGTTTTCTAAATGAAACGCCTCGAAAATTATAGGTGTGTAAAAGTTTGAGGGTTAGTCCAGTTCCCACATTCTCGTTTAACAGGTAGATTATCTACGTGAATTTTTTGTCGACACATTTTTGCGCGATGCTCCTTTTAATTTAATAGCACGCAACACATTGTTTTATTATGAGATAGGTAACTAATTCATCTCGTCCGGATTAGATAGATATCTAGACAATATCATGCAGTAGATACTTTTTGGTTCTAATCCTAGTCGTTTTGCATATTAATTTTTTCATTCTGTGAATCAGACTAAGATCGTTTTCAATATAGGTACTTTCACAAAGCGTCATAATCTTTTGCGTGACTAAAGGGTGATTTCGTGTAGAGCATTGCTGATTTTGATCTATTTTTAGATTGAGTTTATTGTTTACAGCTTAACATTTCTACCTTGAAAGTGTTCACAGTAATTGATCTCACTAAACGGAGTTAACCACGGCCAGAAACCTTATCCGACTAAAAGGTCACTTACCTTCTTATATAACAAATAGGTCTTGTCCTTATCAGGTCAATATAACTTGTCCTTCGTTTCTCAATAGTGCGTCTAAATTCCTGCGAATAAGACTTTAGTTGTGACCGTCTAGAGATGTTATTTGTCTTTTCGTCGCGGTTGTCCCTATTGGGTACAATTTCGAAGCGCCAAACTTAGTTTGGTGGTCTGATGGGATTAGTTCTAAACCGAGTTCTAAACTTCTAAGTCAAATAACTTCCAGACTTGCTTTCAGATTAAATTTTGTTTTACAATGTTCAAAATTTCTGCTCTCGGCAGCTTTTGAATCTGGTTAATAATGATATCAATATCATTATTAACCAGTAATCAATAATGAGAAATGTCACGTTGTCACTCTCTAAGAGATCATAACACGAAATCCTTTATTAAGCGACAGAGCAAAGCGATGCAAGCTTTATAGGGGAGTCGATGGGTCTGTCCGTCTGTCCGTGAACACGATAACTGTCAACGCTTGGATAGATTTCGTTCAAACTTTGCACAGTTGACCTATATGCCATATGTAATAAGAATAAGCCTATTGAAAATGGGGATTTGGATTTTGAAATGGGGTCACGCTTCTCTGTCCCTGCCAAACGCTTGCACGCCTGCAAACTTTGCACAGTAGACTTATATGCCACATATAACAAGTCTATTGAAAATGGGTCAAATCCAATAACACCGTAGGGTCACGCCTCTCTGCCTCTGGCAAACGCTTGAACCTATTCGGTTCAAACTTTGCACAGTTAACATATATACCACATCTAACAAGCCAATTGAAAATGGGTCAAATCCAATAACTCCATGGGGTCACACCGAGGTGCTCTGCCGCTTTTTTAAACGCTCTTTATGGGTTTATGTTCAGAGAAATGACTTACTTAAAACTGTCGCATTTGGAGAAGATTCAAACGACATTACTCTTTGAAAATGTGCCAATGACAGAATACGGCCTGTTTCACTTGTACTTCCAATTCTGTCTACTGTTGTAACAATATAATCTGTTAGTTTAGATGACTTCATCTCGCTTCATAGTAGTGAAAAAAATTATGCTTATACCAAAACTTTGTTTTGACGTTTGATTTTTTTAAATCGATCGATTCGTTTTCGAGAAAATTAGAAAATTCTTTATTTAATTTATTTAATATCGACCTATTTAAACAAACGAAAATATCACTTTTTATTTCAATAAGTGGTCAACTTTTTTCTATGGGCCATTTAAAATCTATTGTGTTTACTCCCCAACCTGAAAGTTCGTCAACGCATTATCGAAAGCTGCCATGATATCCTACAACATGTTTTTGAAAATGCCCAAAATTGTTTGGCCAAAAACAGGTACAACAGTTTGATCACTTATTGAAATAGAAAGTGATATTTTGGTTTGTTTTTGTTTTCTATCTGACTACAGGTCTGACTAGATCGATATTAAATAAATTAAATAAAGATTTTTCAAATTTTTTCGAAAACGAAGTGCCTTCACGAATTGCTAATGACATAACTACACGTTTACCTTCACAAGATAAAAACGTCTGTCCGTGAACACGATATCTGTCAAACGCTTGGACGATTCGGTTCAAACTTTGCCCAGTGGACCTATATGCCACAAGTGATAAGCTTATTGAAAATGGGTCAAATCCAATGTGTTGCCTATCTGCACCATTCGTTGGAATTGTCGAATAAGTAACTTTTCACCAAGTCTCCTCTTAAACCTTTTCTCAATACCGATGACCTTTGTTAACTTTAGCGATGTAAATACTAACTAGTTCTGATGCTTTCGATGCTTTTTATGTGTTGGGACGTGAAACGCAATTGAAAAGGGAACAAAACGAAGAGTTTTATGCCTAATAAAAGACAAGAAAATTAAATAAGTATGGGACAATTGGGACAAAAAACCTGCCATAAGACACACAAATATAAACAATAAATCAAATACGACGAGAAATACACTAATCAAACGTCTCAAATCTTACAACAAAATCAGGTAATAGTTAAATGCAGATAAACAAATTACTAAAAACGAAACACAATAGAAATCATAAATAAAAATGGACAAGATAAGTCAAAGTAGTCGAAAAATGGCATGGTTTTGCTCCTGCATCGGTTACCATTAATTTACAACGAAAGAAGGCGTGTGCGAATGCAGTCTTCAAAGTAAAATCAATTATTACACAAACAAACACATGCTGAACAGAAGAAATGTTAATTAAAAGGCCCACTTTCTCGTCGTGCTGACGCACCGTCCATCCGGCCTCGGTACACATAGTTAAATGACCCATACAGGGCAGCATCACACTAATATACTTCTAGGTGTTATACATAAATCAATACTTAATAAAACAATATAGAGGCATAACCACCAGTATAAGAAACAAACATAATTTAGTAACAGTTTTATAAAATAAAGCTTGGAGCGTACCATGCTTCAATAAGCAAATACCAAAATCTAATGCAAAATGTAAATAATAGCAAATTTTGAGATTCCTGATACAAGTAGATTAACGCTCATTAAAGGTAGAGAGGGCGTTTTTTGTGTATTTCTTTTTGTCCGTCTTTTCTATGTATCCGTAATTTTCAAAAAGCTATCATATAATATATCAAATTGATATTTTGGGCAGCTAAATAACACATTTTATGACTAAAAATAACTTGCAGTAAAAGAATTTGTTATCCACCAAACAGAATAACATCTTGCAGTTTGTTGGTATTAGACGGTCGAACGTAACGTATTGTTTTAACTCCCCGTACAAATTAAATAATAAAGTCAAATATTGTCTAACTAGGTACGTTACAGTAGAAAGGTACTGATCTGATTTTTTTTACAGGAATGAGATTCGTGTTTGATGCTACTCCGGACTGTGAAGTGATACATGGTGCGTTATACTCATGTTTACGGGCTATGTTTGGTTTGTCAGTGAGTGGAATATTAGTGTGCATATTTTCATGCATGCTTGTGTACCAGTTGTTAAGGTATGTATATTTGAGAATCGATTTTTTAGTTTACACAAACTTATTTCCAGTCATGAAAAGAAGAAAATGTATTGGGAGCAACTGGAATTACGATGCCGTTCCCTTTATCAGCACGGTGGTGCCCCGGCCAGTACGCACAGTTCTGTAAGAGGAACTCCGTTCCCATCGACAACTTATTGCAGCTGCTGTGAAGAATGTCGCTATCCGCCGTTATCTACCGGTTCGCATATGTTCTCGTGGGACAATCACGCCTTAGAACGGTATTTCGCTTCTTTATCGAATTTTCAAAATTTTTATTCAGTTTTTCAGTTTCTGGACGCCGGGAAGGGTTGGAAATTTTTATTCTCCCAATCCAGGAGAGGAAGGCAATTCAACTATCGAAGGCCATCCTAGGGAGAGGAATAACGGTGGGTGGAGTTGGAGGCGTTTACCTTGGAATCGAGGGAATAACACCCAACATAATGTAACAGAATCCAACAGGTACATTTTTTCTACTGTTCAATTAAATGTGTTAGTTTTGTTTCAAATTTAGAGAACCGTCATTAACATACGAAGGAGGAATTAGTAGTTCGGATAGTCAATACGGATTTGGGCATCAACAAGCAAATGAATCTAGACAAACGGCAACGGATCCAGTTTCGGGATCGTCAGGGTCTTACAGCGTTCTTGATAGTCGACCGCCAGCTGGAGGGGTTTACGTGTGGGGCCCACCTCCTCCGTACTCAAACCCTAACTCTCCTGCAAGAAGGCCTTTCCAATCGCCATCTAGGTGAGTAACAAAGCCAATATGGTAAACCAACTACTCAATTTTCGTTACAGATTTCATCATATGCACCATCATCAGCATGCACACAATCCTCACTGCCAAATAAATAATGAAAGTCAAAGCCAACCATTTACAAACGACATGCATCTAAGACGGAGCCGCTTGCAGCATTCAAATAAGGCAAATTATGAGAACACTTTGGAAACCGAGGTTCACCGATCCAATGATAATAGTGAAAGTACCGACACATCGAGTTGTGTTGATCACGTGCCTCATACTTTAACTGCGCGGAAAGTGAAGAAGAAGGTGGATATCGCATCCTTAAAATCCGTTGCATGTACGAACCGGACCAACGTTCAAAATGTCTTTAATCAAACTTGTCAAAGTTATTCAGCTGACAATGATAATATCCACGAGGATGATGTTTCGGAAGGAAATCAACAGATACTAAATGATAATTCCCAGTGTCGTTTCTTGCCTCGATTACAAGGAGTTGAGAATGCTGCATTCCAAAACCAAGAGAGCCCAACTGCAAAACCGGAGGCTACAGAATCCGAAGTCTATTTTGCAGACGTCAGCAGCTGTTGCAACATTTCTTTGAAAAATGACGGACAGGATTCGTCGGTGTACGATGAAGCAATGGAAATTCAAAAACCTAGGTTGATGCCTCTGCAAAATATTCAAGGGTCATCTAACGATAAAGATAATAGTCAAATTTTACAAACATTTCAAGAGAACATATCATCTTCCACTGTGACAGAAGATGAAGAATATTTAGCGCACAGATTAGGAAAACGACAGTTGTCGACTCGAAGTCGTTTACCTTTTCCATTACCAAACAATCATGACGGCTGCGACATGAATTCCGACCCCTGCATTCAGTTATTACCCAAAGACATCTCTCAAAATAGCTTATGTAGCAGCGTGCAGACACCCATGACCGAAACAACCGACGACGCCGTCTCCCCAGGATCTCCAACTGGACAATCCCCGATGAACTATTACGATGATGGTACCAATCATCACATCAGTCAACGGCATGGAACATTCTCCAATCAAAATTTAGATCAATTTCTCGCACCCGACGCGCAGTACGAAGTTATACAAGAGCAATCGGGTTCGATACCGTTTAGACAAAATTACAACTCGACCTGTACGACGGCGACGACAACTTTTAGCAATCTTACAAATACAATTTCTAGTGTCAATAATTTCGGCCAAAACTATCTTAATAACCAAACCAAAAACTTCAATTCCATCCAAACTACAAAAAACATTCCACCCAAGAGTTTAAACTTTAACCAACTGTCAAATACTAAGAAAAATCTCGGCTCGAATATTTCGAACTTAATTCAAAATTTAGGCGTCAATCCTGTCGGTCTGTTGTACAGTGAAGCTAATAGTTCGGTCGACGAGGAAGTGCAGTGTCAGGGATGTCATAGCGATGGTACGATGGATTCCGGCTGGCATAGTGGTTCAGAGAAACAGGAACGTGGTGCGGAAAGTGGTGACAGTTGTACGCATAGAGCTGTGAATGTGTAAATACTGTGTTAAGAACAAGAATCTGGTAGGGCCAAATGAGTTTATTTTTCATATGTAAACAAAACGCTTTTATTTCTTATATTGCCCCATAAAATATATTTATTATCTTTGTTTTGATAGTAACTTAAATAAAACAGTAATTACTTTCCAACCTATCTAATTCCTAATATTTCAACTACCATTGTCACGTCATTTATTTGATGTGGAAGCCGGCGAGAAGTTTGAATACAAACTGAACCCACTTAGGTAAAGCAACGCAGCTCTGTATAGAAATACGAATTGTTCCTAGAAGTAACATGTTATAATTATAATAACAACAAACGAGTTCAATTGTTAAGTTACCTTTTCAGATACAAACTGTTTACGGTTACGTCTTACTGTCCTCACTGCCAAACACACGTCGCATTGTTGTTCCAAGTTGATTTTTTCAATTAAAAATGCGAGTGCCAAGAATAAACCGCAGGCTGTTGATCCATTGCTGTAAACAGAATTTCAATTACTCGCCGGCGCCATGATTTGTAAAGTAGATATACTAAAAATGCGCCAAAGCCCAAAGCTTCATTGAAATCTTCATGTAGAAGAGTAGTTGGTACCTCAGAGTAAGCTTGCTCTGAAGTTGCAGGTTGTACTGCAGTGCAATAAGGTTTAGTTCTGTGTTACCTGCCCATTACACCAAAGTACGTCTATGTATAATGTTTACGTTAGTTTTTGTTGGTTTTCGTTAATTTTGTCCAAAATGACATTGGTATTTCCTTGGCGTTATCCCAAAATCGAAATTGTTAGTGGATGCGAGTGCAATACTGTCTTTATCTACGACTATTAGGTACTTTAATTAGATTAATATTTTATTAGCATTTACATTAGGTACAATAAATACGCAAAATCACTGGAATGAAAACAAAGCAAACAGTTACATTGAGCATGGGTCCCAAAATGTGGAGTGAGCGATATTGGAAATTTGTTTAGCTGTATCCAACTTATTTGTCAAGGAAGTACCTATCACTTTAATCTGTGCTATCACTGTATCCTTCGGCTTACATATTTTCGATTCTGAAGAATACCTATTTTACCATTAAATCAACATTGACAATAAGTATTTCAAAAACATTTTGCTATATTGTTTATGCTTTAGTTTTTCAAGCGTACCGTTCTGTAAAAAGACAAGGTTCTATGCTAGTATATCCACAGAATTCAGGCACTGGTAAATTACTCACTTAATAAAATGTATGAGCGATTTGGCCACATGATATGGTGGCCTCTCGATGCACGAATTCAGATCGCTTATGCTGAGAGGTCATTTTATAAAGTCTTTTGTATGTATGTATGTAGTATGTGTGAGTATTTATGGCAATATTATGGAACTAATTGAGTTACAGCGTCCGCTCTAGCTCGCCTTTTAGGTAATTTTCTCTACTTCAAAAGTGGTAATAACACATTTCCTCTTCAGAACACTCCTTTACTTCTTTTTTTTTACGAAAAACTGAGAAAAGTCCAAATGTTTGTCGATTTTCACCAGAGCTGGGTGGAGCGTTCTAAAAAACCGCTCGATCTAATCCTTGCGATCATCGAGTTGTTTTTCAAAGCGAAACCGCTTGCGAGTTCCGAGCACTCCTAAAGGTGTTCGAGCGGTTTATCTCGAGCGGAAAAAGCCCTCGGGAGCGGAAAAAGAGCTTGCGAGCGGAGAAAAACGCGCATGAGCGGAAAAACCGCTCGTGGGCAGAAAAAAAAGCGCTCGAGCGCCGAGCACTTTAAGTAAACCCTCGAGTATCGAGCACCAAACGGCCGCTCCGAAAAGTGCTCGCGAGGCAAGCGCTTTTTCCGCTTGGAGCGCTTTTTCGAGCGGAACGCTCGCGAGCAGTACCAAGCTTTCCCATTTCCCATTTTCCTTTTTACCACGGTTAGACACATATACAGGGTGGTGCCTAGCGCAACGCAGCATAGGGATTTCAATGGTAATTTCTTTATAGTCAATTACTAGCTCCCCTAATTATTTTAGAGCAAAAGTCTAAATACGTTTTTTTAGAGAAAAAAATACTGCATCTGTTCATACTTTTTTTTTAGTTATAATTTTCCATTTTTCAAAACAGTAAAAATCGACAAAATAAAAAATTACATTTTTATAAATCAGTGATGCTTTGGAACCTTTTAACAAACTACAAGCGCATCGCATCTATAGTTATTTATGCAATGAGTGTATAAATGAGGCGTTTTATTGGTGAGTGAGATGTTTAGTCCACGAGCGCAGCGAGTGGACTAAATTCGAACGAACCAATAATCGCCGATTTATACATGAATTGCATACAACGTTTTTTTGTCGACTTCACTGGGGTAGGTAATTTTAAATTCAACTACAAGAAATTACAAACGAAATTATGAGCTCCGACGATTTTTCACTAAATTACAGCTATTGTCGTTGCTATAGTAATGTGTTGTTTTATGCTGTATCAGTCCTCGTAATCGCCGTGGAAGATTATGTTGCTTGCTCTGCTGCGGAGACGATTTTAACATTATATCCACTCAAATCAAAAGAAACTTATTGGAACGGTTTCGATCAGTTCGGCAATTGATGGAATACAATGAATTTGAAAGGAGATATTTCCGAAAATGTCACGTTGACATTTTACCTTATTGTAAAATGAACCTTTTTATTTTGTAGATTTCTACGGTTTTGAAAAACGGAAAATTATAAGTAATATAGTATGAACATATGCAGTATTTTTTTCTCTAAAAAAACGTATTTAGACTTTTGCTCTAAAATAATTAGGGGAGCTAGTAATTGACTATAAAGAAATTACCATTGAAATCCCTATGCTGCGTCGCGCTAGGCACCACCCGGTATATTATTAGGATGTAAAAAAACCATGACTGCCATCTCAAAGTGGTAACTAATAGAAATGGCGGCCAATCCAAGATTGCGGATGTTGAGTTTTATAAAATTAACGATATCTTTAGAACTATTGGTCCGACTTCATCATTTTATTAAATGAAAGCTTTTGTGTGTGCTACAATATTATCAAACTACTTTTTCGATAAAATCAACGATTAGTAAACGAACGGAAATTTTTTTAACTCTTAACATTTAATGAAAACTAAATCAGCCCCTTCGTTACTTTCAAAAGTTTAATATACACTAAAATCTGCTACTTCTTCCTCTTCTTCAGTAACGTTTTCACAAGTTGGCGGTTTGCATGCGCTTGTACACTTTAAGTTATTAGCATTAGATAATTGTCATGAGCCAGTTGGTAAATACGCGAAGTGATATGGAAGCCAAACTTAGGGTTATCTTTCATCTTCTTTTCTGCTTCCGGAATAGCATCTCTTGGATTTTGACGTACAATGTTCCAATGTATTTTTTGTTTTCACATAATTTATGTCAAATTTTCTGGCACAATATACACCTTTCCACCAATATTAACAAACTGATTACTTACCTTATAACTAAAAGCCATATTTGATAGTATTTATTGCAAGACAGTCAGTCTTGTCAGTTGTAAAGTTCTTGTTTACAGTTAAGCGGAAGTGTGTTTAAAATTTTCGAAGATGTTAGTCGAAGTGCTGTGTTTATCGAGGAGGCGTCGCTTATGTGAAGCCTTGTTTTCCCAGTACTCGTTAAAGGGAGTTCTTTCATCATTAAAGAGCCAAATTTACATCTGTAATTACAACGAACCCAATGTCATCTAAATCGAGATACAAGTTCAATTAAAGTAGAGAAGTGAAGTTTACAGAAACATAATCCGCACATACCAATTTCATCATTTGGTATTTGATTTGGTCTTAACATGCCTCTTCAGCTACAATCTATCTGTAGACGTAACTACAATGATGTTTGTATTTCGTTTTTCTATATTAATTTCACGGAGTTTCTTATCAGTGTTAAGGTGAAGAACCTAAAGTAATGGTTCCATAGATCGGCTTTCCTTCTTAGGTATATTTATATTGAATTCGTAGGCCTGATTTTTTTCGTTTCAAACGTTTCTGGATTGGTTGTTATGAAATTAAACTTTCACTATCAGAAGAAGCCTGCAAAGTCCTACTTACTTGCTTCTATTTCACAGTGTACAAACTATTTTATCTTTCTCTTTCTCTACGGTGTTTATGGGTGATATTGTGAAAGGTTTGGAAATTGCTCCCAATAGTTTGTCGTTTTCTAATGCACGTGTACCTTCTGTTGATGTAGAGAGAAGTTTCTCTGCTTAGTGCTTAATAATTAATTCTTAGCGACAGGAGGCAATCATTCCGTGTAGAAAACTTAGAGAAACATCTTATTGCTAGTGTTGATCGTAATTCCTTTCTTATTATTATTATTATTTAAAAAAATTCGGAAAAAACCTACTTTGAACTAACAACTCAAGTAAATGCCAATGCAGAGTAAAAATCGATAGGTGAAGGAAATGTCGCGGATACTGTCGCTACGGTACTTAATCGTGCGCAATTGTTTTGTTAATTCCAATCTAAAATTCTCGCACATCTCCTTTGATTGACATTTTATAGGTTTGAGTGAGTAGGTTAAGTTACTCTTTAACCGTAAGGGTAGCGGTAGATAAAGTGATCGGAGGACGTTCATAACATGGGACAATGCTGCTTCTATGGTAACGACCGCGGCCGCAGAACCATAAGCTTGCTATTTTTGACGTCTAAATTAAATTCAGAATTGTCAGAAGCTTTACAATGATTTATATGGCTTCTGCTATCAAGCTTTGTATTACCTATACACACACGACTGAATCCCAATCGTCCTAACGCTCGCTCGATCGATGGCTTCATGTGGATGAACAGATTACGATGAAATTTTGCAGGTGGATTCTTTATCAAATTTGCAGATCAGAGTTTGTTAGTTATGACATATTTGTTAGTTATGAACCGAATTGCATGAAATTTCTAATGCCGAATCAATACATGTTTTTTGGCGCATATTCAATCCGATTTTTTTAAATTGTTAAGGGTTTTAAGTAAGACTTTGTGTAGACACCTTGAATAAAAGTAGTTCTAGTCTTTGCATATTCAAATAATGTCTTTACCTAGGAACAAGTCCCACCAGGGCGAGTGTCTCCGTCTCCTTTCAAGAACTCGACCAAAACCGATACAAGGCAGTCATTAGTAATTAAAAATTTGTATTTAGTTTAGTTGATAATCGCCGGATTAATGCTAATAAAAAATACAAAGCTATACTCACTGGCAGGTCACAACAGTAGGACTGTTCTGTCCTCTAGATACTCTATCGGTTTCTTCCCACAGCTTAAGCAGTCCGTCCATATCAGTTGGCACAATTTCATTGGCCGCCCATCTCTTAAACGAGATCAAACTGATTACCCGCTTGATGCTTTTCTAAAATGTAACTTGGATACTCCTTTGTACAAGCATCGTGATGATTACCTTATTCTTGTTGTTACGTAAATGAAGAGTAGTTATAGAAAAACTTTCCTGTTTCGTTTTATTCTGGTACTTTATCTTTAGATATGGCACAGGATTTATTTCTTCGACATGTTGTGTTGGCCAAAATAGGCAGCTTTCCTACGGTAGAGCGATTAGTTTAATATGTAAGAGGCTGGCTAGAAATGTACAATATCGTCATTCGTAATCTTGTTTAACGAAATAATGGTGGTTACTTCCTTTTCATCTACCATTCTCCAAAAGTCTGACACGGTGTGTGGTAGGGGTTGTTGAGTGACAATGAATCGTTGAGGTGCTCGAAAACCATCAACCTCTACTGAGTTTATGTAATCCGAATGCTCATCACTTACCGGGTACCTTGTTAAATATACTCTTCCATGTATACCTAAAAAGTTATTCAGTAGTTACACCACGTAGTTCTGAAAAAATATATTACTAGGAACTATTTCTTCGAATCTGTTCTTATTTGCCCATTCAGGTTGAGGAGCGGCAGGTAACGATGCTTGCATCACGTGATCCTGCCATTCAGTATCCCGAAGGTACTCCATATGATGTTGAAGACTATTTGAATCGATAATTTTTTCAACGGCTTTGCTAATAGAATCATCACAAGGTAAGTTCGTTTGAGGAGCAATTAAGCACTCGAGCAAAACCAAATGTGCCAATTTATATTGTTCAACATTATCAACTAAATTGGCTCTCTGCTGTCGCAAATTATGCTGATGTTTCAAAACATCGACTACCCCTTCTCTAGCTGCCATTCTTAGGCACAGATCGCATAGAATAATTGTGCCTGTTCGACCAACGCCTGCACTGTAATAGATACAGGTCATTATATACAAACGTTATTCGATATGATACCTGCAATGAACGACGACTGGTGCTTTTCCTTGAGGTATTGTTAGTAACTTCCGAAGGAAGGGTACTAAACTTTGACTATATAGCGGTACTCCGTGATCAGGCCACGATACAAAGTGCAGTTGCTCAACCTATATGCGTTAGTAAAATTAATGCCAGAATTTTGAAGCTACTCACTTACAGTTCTCTCTTCATTCTTACATTGCACGGCAAAGGTACGATACTCATAATCCGCATAAATTTCCGAATGTAAATAGTCAATCTGGACGTCTCCATACACCAAGCTTTCTCCCAGATTTGGCCAGTACTGCTCAGTTTTCTTTTTACCCCCTTCAATAACATTTGCTAGCATAACGATGTAGTTTACATTTTCTTGCCATATCATTCGCCAAAAATCTACAACCGTTGTCGGTTTTGGACCTTGGGTTGCTATGTACCCATTTGATGTTTTGTAACCCTGCAAAGGTATAGTTCAGTGTATGATTACACTAGAGAATTACCTACTTACCTCAATATAGTTAGCGTTAATGTAATCGGAAAATTCATCTCCTTCCAATTTTTGCAACTTAACTCTTGTATGGTCATCTACGGTACCGTGCTTAAGCCCAAAGTTTACAAAAATTCAAAACGTACTCACATGCTATCAAATTGTTGTACCTGTTCTTAGGTTTATTCTGTGGCAGCACGCCATAATCCCACGGCTTTGTTTGTCCTCTTGGAAATAACTTAAAGAGAATACCTTCATAAAATCTTAAAAACTGAAATTCAAAAAACCTGATGTTGTTTTTCCAATTCTCCGTTCTCAATTGAATCCTTCACGTATTTCTCAAATTCCACAATTTTAATAGGCTTCGAGAAATTGTCGATTTTATTGGAATTGCTCTTACTTGGGATTTCCTGAAAGTAACAATGTACCAAAATAAATAGCTTTCTATATGTCGGGTGAGACAGACTTTCTAAAAATATTTAAATACTTTCCAAAAATCTAAAGTATTTAAATGCTTTGAAAGTATTTAAATATTTAGAAAGGTATTTAACTACTTCGAAATTGAACTGAGATCAGAAATATCCGTTTTGAGGTGCAAATGGGTAAGTTTGGTTTTTCTACCACAACTCAGCTAGCATAGGTCTTTGGAAATTTGGAAATTGAAACACTACCCTCATGCATCCTAACAACATAAGAAAATATCAGATTGTAATGGGTGTGAATATTTTCAACCTGGGCGTGAAGGAATAAAATTTTGTAATTAACTGTGGATAATGTATATTAGGTTTTGTAAACGTATCATTGGTTGTAAGTTTAAATTTACAATAGAGAGAATGGCCGAAGAAAGACGGTAATTTTGATTAGTGGGAATGAAGTCGGTGTGGAACTCGCCTTGTAAGCGCAGGTTTTTAACGCGCACTATTTTAACGTTGCGAAATATTAAAAAGGCGCCTAAAATTATTGTCTTGACTTTTATGTACAAATATAAGGAAGTGGAAAATTTCCTAAAAAGTGAAATCCAATTACTCAAGTCCATTTATCCGAGGAGACTGCAGCGGAGGGTTGCAGATTTTCAAAGCACCAGGCCGTGGTCATCTACGACATCGCCCAAAACATCAAGTTCAAAAACTCCAGCTGAATAAAGAGGGTTAATTCATAAGGTAAAAGACAATATTCCTTTATACTAATTATCCAACGGCGCGGCGTACGTATTTTAATTCTCGCGGTCATTTTGCGTGATAATTCAATGTAACTGTAATTTTTTGCTTTATTTGCGTGTTTAGTTAAAATAAATGTATTCTAATTAATGTAATCTTTTGCAATCGTAATTATTACCGGACTAATCTTTACTAACAGGAACAAAAAGGTTCTGAAATTCAAACGTACACCGAATTATGACAATTGCGTAATTCCTCCAGGCATATTAGAGTTAAAATTTCAGTATCTAGTAATATCTTGCCAAATTTTGATTATTATTTGTTGAAATTAACCAAGTAGGTACCTGCGAAGATAAGAATTAACTTAATTATTCCCTATTATTTACCCATTTATTTACCTGAGCTAGCTGGAAGTATAAAAGTATAATTAAGGTAAGTTCCGAAATACTTCACCACCGACATAGATGCCGAGAAACGAAGGATAAGAAGAATATACACGGCGAATCATTGATAATTTGTAACCCGTCAAAAAGTAGGTACCTATATACTGTCTTGAGTAGCATTTTTTATTACGAATACCACGATGTACGGCACACAAAAAAACAAAAAGTGGAAACTATTGGTTTCAACAGGATGGTGCACCCGCGCACTACGCCCTAATCGTGGGAGAATACGTATTGGACAAATTTTCCATTTTCCAGGAAAAGCATTTGACAGGGAAAAAACAAAAACCTACACTTAAAAATGCTTGAACTTTCCATGTGAAGCAGAACGTAATAATAACCTCGCAACTTACCGGCCTTTTAATGGAGCTAACTGGACTCAAAGTGCGCGGTTGGGAGATTATCTTCTCAGTTGTCAATGGAATAACGTCTGGATTTGTGGAATTTCGACCTGAAATGCTAAAGTTGATCATGTACGCTTAGTAAGTGTTGCAGTACACACCCCCTGTATGCACCATTGTAACCAAAGTATTCCAATTTATACTTTTCTTCTTTCTGTAATAACTAAAACAATTCATTAGCTCGAAATTAATCTGTCTATAAACACAAATTGCCAATTTTCCATTTTGCAACTTGCGATACCATTTCTGTGCGAGTAGGAATATAGGGCCGGTCCTGGACCTGTTCAGGTTCGCTCGCCATTTGGTACTGTCCTTGAAAAGTAAGGCACTGTTATGTTGGTCTTATTCTTCGGGTAGATTCAAATGGCGCTCGCTGTACAAGGTTTGCTCACAAAGCTGGTAACCTTCAGGGTGGACTTAAGGGTATGGAAATTATCAGTTTTAGTGATGACTCTGTAGATGAACACTCGGTATCTAGAAGCGTTTTAAGTTGGGCGGTTCGTTACGAAGATTGACGCTTCCAAAATATTTACTACTGTTTAGGAGTTAGATATAGGTAGAAATTAGTGTGTTAATTTGGAGAGCCACCCGTTAAGGAAAATAGGAAACCGTATTTAATTTGCCGTTTGCAACCGCTACCGTAGGAATATTTAAATAATTTTTACATCCGCCGACAGCTCTCTTGCCAGGAAAGAAGAGAGAGAATCAACTTGTTAAGCGTTAGGTCCGTTAATTACCTGTGTTATTTCGTCTGGCAGGACGAAATTTTGGGATTCTTAACTAGGATGGACAAGGGCGGTTTCCTATTTTTCTATGTAATTAATTTTCTTAATTTAGATTTCTGTTTTGTGTCGTTCGTTAAGTACTTCAACAGAAATTATTGTTACGAAAAAGAGGTCAAGGTTTGTATTGTTTACATTTTAATCTCATCTTTGATTTTATTTAACGTAGATTTCTGAGAATTTTATTTCACTTTTATTCTGTTATCATTGTAAACGCTTAATTTAATTGACAGGTGGATGTTATTTATCGCCTTTTCTTTGTATTTAAAAGACAGAAAATTCTATTTTTCCTAGTATTTTAATTTTGTGTTATCTCTTAATGTCGGTTAAAAATTGATTATAAAAATAATTTTCTACCTCTAGTTTAACTTACGTTAGGGGGGAAATTTTCTGTTGTCAACTGCTTATCATTGGCTGCTTTAATTTATAATTTGGAAGAAGGGTTTCCACTTTAAATAGAACGGACTGAGAAGAGGAAGGGCTTTTTGTCACTGTCAACGCAGAACTACGTTTGGTTGAAATTTAAATCGCCTTTTGCAAACTTGAGAGCAGATCCACGTCTGCAGAAGTTTGAAGTTTGTTTTGGAGTTGTGAAGTTTTTATCGTCAGTTTTGTTGCCAGTCAGGGCAGTTTTTGAGTTGAGTGAAGATTGTTTATTTTCGCTTCGGCGAGTTACCGCAGTAGTTTGGATTGTGTAGAGGCCAGGCAGTTTTGGGAAATTGGTGGAGTTTCCGTTTTACGGAGTGGCAAGCAGAGTTGCGGCAGGTTAGAGTTGCGGCAGTTTTGGAAGTTTGGACCTTCAATAGAGTGCGTCACTAAGGGGTGGTCGGTGCCGACTTAAGTGTTTTTTTGTGTAATTTTGAATTTTGTTGTTTTTTTGTGTACCGTATTTGGGATTAGCAGTTTTGGACATGTACCGAATGTAAGTAAAATTAAGTTTTAATTTTAGTTTTTTTTCTTTGTAATAATTGTTGGTGTCTCTTGTAATATTTTCATTGTGTGTGGGACAATAAAAATTTGAATTTGGTTAATTTTCACAATAATTGCTGTGTATGTCATTCGAACGATTTCATTTCCTTTCATTTACTGTTTTCTTTGGATACTTGCCCAAGGTCCATTTTATTTAATCAAAATTCTTAAGATAGATTTGGAATTGAAGGTATTTGGTCTAACCCACTATCTGGTAGAAGTTAATAATTTAACTGAGAAAAGAGTCAAATTCCTCCTCTGTGCTGGGGAGAAGTTTTGTTCCGAGAAGGATAAAAGTTTGAGCTAGCTAGATTTGTTTAGGTGTTTTGTGTACGGTCTTTTTGCCCTCCGGACCGGTGCACACAGCAGTAAATAGTATACGAAAATCAGCATTAAACCGGCAGAGTCGTGCAGTTTTAAGAAAATATCAACGTGATAACAGATTTCGCCGCCTTACCTCACAGTCCAAGGGCAGGACTGTCGAATTTGGAGAAAGTATACTTAACCGTAATTAGTTGAATGGGTTACAGCTTACAGTAACAGCCTCCGATTAAGTGGATATTACATCCGTTACATGCGCCCTTAAAAAACTTGAATTTTGACACTGATCTCATATTTTTAAGACGTCTGGCAAGGACGCAATTAATTAAAGAAGTTTTAATATTCGAGCATTATCGCAAGGACACGGTGTTGAGCAGGTAAAACCCATCTTCCGTCCCTGACATGGCCGAAGTTTATTAAAGGTGAAACCGTTGGCGGCATCTTGTTCAGAGGCCGTTCCGCCGACAATCGCCGCCGTCACCGTCTACATATTTGTCTTGTAAATGACCGCGGGATTTTTTTTCTTATCTTCATTAAATTTCATTTTGTAATTATACCGCTTAATTTTTTTGTAAAGGAGAACCGAAGCCACTGTCGGTGCGTGAGCTTCCGGCGGAAGTTCGACTTTGAATGTGGCATGACAGAGACCTTTGATCTCACTAACCTACTTCCCAATATCATCTATAATATTGACGTACCTTCCAAGAGGACAAGCGACTTTGAGCTTCACCTTATCTAAATCTGAAGGTCACCACCAGATTAATGGAGGACCGGCTCTATTTAACTACAAGTAGCTTTATCCAATAATGTAAAAATGGCAGTTACCATATACCAATCCATATGACTGGAACTAAAAGCAAAAGCAACAAAGCGAATAATCCATAGTTTGCCGACCCTTCCTCCATTTTTGATCCAATTGTAGTGGCATTTAAGGTATAAACATTGTGCCTTTTTAATCCATCGAAAGCACTAATTATCAAAATTGTGAATACGTAATTTGTCGAAGCTAACAAAGGTTTGTTGTGTATTTCAATTTGTAGGTGCAGAGATGTAGATTTTCTATCATCACCGATGACGAAAATTTTTGTAGACGTTTTTAAGGTGGTGATATTTAAATCGGCCACCATCCAAGTTGTTAGATCTCTTGGAATTTTCGCTTTTCTCCACAGTTCACTTGGATATATCTGCTGATTTGGCCCTTCATCGGAATCGCTTGACACGAATATGAACATTTGCCTATAATTTGTTTATTACTCAATCACGTGTAGCAGGGTGATGTGCGAGCCTCACACTGTGTCTTCAAGGTTTGATACCCCTTGTATATCCACTGAAACTGTATCATTTGCGATTGCGGAAATAGCGGGTTCTGGCCGAATATTTGGAGTTTTAGGCGGACTAGATTGTGTTAAGTGCAATCCCGGCGAAAACATTATGTTGAATGAATGGACATAAATGTCCAATTTCGACGCATAACACGAATCGTTTACTAACACCTGGAAACAAAAAAAATGGTGAGGGTGACCGAACAGCTGGGTTAGGTATGTCTATCTATAACTGACCACGTATTGATATGACAGTTGGTACTCTCTTTCAGTTATTGCTATAGATTGCTCCAAGCATATACCGTTATGAGCATAAATTTTAATAAAAAATCCGGTAAGAGGCCCATTCGTAATACTTGGATGACTCCATGAGAGAGTTAAATTGTAATAATCATCCCATGCGGCAGATACGTTTTGAGGAGCTTCAGGAGCTAAAAAATGAAATCCTTAATTTTTGTCTCTAAAGTAGTTTACCGTACCTTCCTGCACTGTGGTCGCAAAAATCCTTGTAGGTTGATTAAAAAGCGTTCCAATGTTTTTGGCACGTACCTAAAAGAAATGTTTACCAAATCGCATTATATTATTATAATTTACCTCTAACTCATACGCAGTCCGTACAATCAAATTTTTCAGAGTAATGCATAAATAAGAAGGCCACAATGTGCATTCTTGTAGTGGAATATAAGATGACTCGCATACGGTCGTGGTGGACCACCTACTTGGCTTTTCATGGCAATAACTAACAAAAATCTCCGCCAATATTCCCGTTGGGGGATAGGGTGGAAGAAATCGGAAAGAAATTGATGATTCATCTTTTGAAAATATTACAATGTCTTTTATAGGGTTTGGTACTGAAATTGGACACAAATGAAATGGAAATTCGCAAGTTTATTCTCACTAACCCGATGGTTCGGTACGAACAACAGCTACCATACCAGTAGTTTTACTCATTCTTCCATTTTTGCGTCCAACGTCGATACTTACGGTGTAGTTTGAATAAGATAGCAAATCTGTTAAAGCTATTGGTTCATTAGAACTGATTGAAGTAAGATTTAAAGTTGAAGGCGATTGTGTAGGACACCAACTATTCAGGCAATGGAATGTTACATAATAATCCAACAAGCCTCTTATCATTGTGCAATGTGGTCGATTCATATAAATACGTATGCTCGTGTTTTGCGATTCGATGGTCTTGATTGAAGGAACTTCTGCTTCATTCGGCATCGCTGAAAAGAATTTCAATCGATTAATTCTTTTATCTCCGCTCTCTACCGAAAACCAGATTTTGCACTCTCATTTGTGGGAGCAAAGTGTGCGTTTACTTTTTGCGGGAGATAAGGTAATCAAAAATTCCCTATATACGGGAGGTAAAGTAATTTCCAGGAAACCTAAATGTGTTGATCTGTAACCTGTAGTGCTTTCGTGGTTATAAATGCCTATTTTTTTCAAATAAATGGAACATTAGCTAATGACGTCCTGATGGAATGATTTTACGCTCAGATAGGTTTCGTTTAGGTTCATCAGGTTGTCGTGAAACCTGATTATCCATCTAATTCGTTTACTCGTTTACTAAACCGCTCATTTCGAAGCGGTGCGTAAATCTATCGCTATCTCTGTTCGTTATGCTCTTGTCTGAATATTCTTCTAAAACGCCTGCCGCTGTTAAAACTACACTTAATATCGTCTGCTATTTGAAATAGTGGCAAAAAAGGAATTTTTTGATCTAGGTATGATCTTTATTATGGTCCTCATGGTTTAGTTCAGGGGTGTTTTTCCCTACATTGAAAAGCGTCTGTTGCTCCCAACGCTGCCCTTGAAATCGTCTGCCATACCATATTTCAAAACTATGAGAAAAATGGCACTTCATAATATAAATATTTTCCGTGATCCTTATGGTTTAGTTGATGCCCAAAATGGTCACTTTTTCAGCGCCGCCCCCAAGTTAATGCTGCCACTTACAACTTGCAGACGGGCGATTTAGTTACTAGTTTTCAACGTACTACTTTCGGCCTGTATTGTCGAATATTTTGTCGTTTACATTGAAAAATTGGAAATTTGTTTCCACAATAACTGCCTTCTGGGCACAAATAGCATAGCATTCATTCAAATATATAATGTTCCGACATTTGCATGAAACAAAAATTATTTAGCTAATTCCTGCATTTTCGACGTTATTTAGGAAATAAGTTGTTAAAAAACTCCCATATAAAATATAGATCTTTCATTTTTATCACACACTGATAATAATTTGCTATCAAACTTAATTTCATTCACAAGCTTAAACCCTTAGCAACCATCGGTCGATAACAGAAGTTTATTTTTTTTACCTCGAAACAAAGTTATTGAGGAAATCGCAAGGCAACTTTTGCACTTTTTGTAAACGCCACCTTAAGGCCGCACATTTCCACTTGCATTCATTTCCCACTTGTAAGATGGAACTTCTGTTAAAATCGTAAAAATCCGGCCACAAATATGAAAGATACCGTTGCACATGGGCAATCCATTTTTGACGTGCTACTTCAATTTCAGTTTATAAGAAGAATTTCATTTCAATGCTTTTCTAAATAAGAATGTTGAAACTGCGCATGCGCAAACCTAAATTTTGAAACTAATTTATTGTGTGATCAAAAACTCTCTAAACCTTCCCCATATAGTTTTTATTCGTTGAAGTTTTTAAAAATAAAAGCGACTATAGTTTCGGCGTACTGCCATCATCAGGCGATGTAAAATTTAACAGGAAAACGGTAAGTTACAAACATTGAAGACGAATAAGACGAACATGTTGTTTTTTAATTATTAACTGGCCGAAGCCAAATGAAACAACCTGAAGGGTGGTTAAACCGGAAAGGTTGTCCTAAGTTTCAAAACGAATTATTATCAAGCCTTGTTAAGACAACCAACCGGAGGGTTGAATTATTACATTAAAAGTTGAAAGTTGAATTTAACACATTTCAAAAGAACCGGGGGGAAAAATAAACTTATAAAAGTTGAAACTATTGTGACTACATATTTAAATTAATTAAGTTAAGTTTAAATTCGAGATCATGCAGACGGCATGTCTAGAAATGATTTCTAGACATGCCGTCTGCATGATCTCGAATTTAAACTTAACTTAAATAATTTAAATATGTAGTCACAATAGTTTCAACTTTTATAAGTTTATTTTTTCGCCCCGGTTCTTTTGAAATGTGTTAAATTCAACTTTCCAAACCTGAACAGGTATGACAACTCAATCTGGAAACCAATTAGATCCTCCCTAAAACCACAAACTACATCTCCACCTATAAGAAAACTACCACCAGCACTGGGGTGGGCTAAAAGTTGCAAGGAGAAAACGGACTTGTTTGCTTACCATCTATCCGGTATTTTCCAACCACATGAAGACACACTCATCAACCCAATTCCAGAAAACCTTATATCACCTCAAACTCCCCACCCTCCCATCCCATCAATCATACCAAAGGACATCAAATCCGAGATTCAACGACTAAAGCTCAAGAAGTCACCAGGGCTGGACCAAATTACACCCAGAATGTTACGAGAACTCCCAAGAAAGGGAATAGTACTCTTGACCTACATTTTCAATGCAATACTACGACTTCAGTATTGGCCTACAGAATTTAAAAAAGCCGAAATAATACTAATTGCCAAGCCAGGTAAAGATCCCGGCTATGTAACTTCATACCGCCCCATAAGCTTATTGTCGGTGACCTCCAAACTCCTTGAAAGACTCGTGCTAAAAATTCTTGATCCAGAATTTTCAACAAACTGGATACCAGACTACCAATTTGGTTTTCGCAAACGGCATTCAACAACTCAACAGTGTCATCGGATCACCCAAGTAATAAATACTGCTTTCGAAGAAAAATCATACTGCACAGCTGTTCTTCTGGACGTTAGCCAGGCATTTGATAAGGTCTGGCATAAAGGGCTTATCCACAAAATCGAACACATCCTACCACCTTCATTTCACAAATTGCTCGGATCTTACCTAAGTCACCGGCAATTTCGAACGCGGGTTAATGACGAAACCTCAGCACTATACCCCATCAATTCGGGTGTATCTCAGGGAAGTGTCCTGGGACCCTTCCTTTATATACTATTCACGTCAGACCTTCCTACCACTTCTAACACAACGATAGGCACTTTCGCTGACGACACTATTATACTCGCGAAACACAACAACGTAACCATCGCATCGCGACACGTCCAAAGCCACCTCAATCTTCTCCAAGTCTGGCTTAACAAATGGAAAATTTTAGTCAACGAAACGAAGTCGAGCCATGTGACGTTTACTTTGCGCAAAGAACTATGCCCACCCATCTATCTAAATAACGTCGAAATACCCCAGGCTACTTCCATGAAATACTTAGGACTTCCATATGGATAATAAGCTGACCTGGGCGGGACCACATCAACAAAAAAAAGAGACACATAGAACTACGATTAAAAAATCTCTACTGGATAATAGGAAGAACATCATCACTATCACTGGGCAACAAACTCCTGTTATATAAAACAATTATCAAGCCCATATGGACTTATGGAGTTGAACTGTGGGGCTGCGCAAGCAAATCAAACGTCGCTACCATGCAAAGATGCCAGTCAAAAATACTACGAGCAATCAGTAACGCGCCGTGGTACGTAACTAATCAGATGTTACACGAAGATCTTGGAATCCCGTTTATAACTCAAGTCATACAAGATCAAACAACAAAACATCTTGACAAGATCGCAGTCCACACCAATCCTCTGTTGTCAGACCTCCCACATGACGAAGTCCTAAGAAGACTCAAGAGACGTTGGCCCACTGATTTGCAGTAACGAGAACCCATCGATGGAGGGGCCCTCACCACGCCACTTCTAAAGACAACAAATTGGCTTATAGGATGCTATGTGTTCTGATTGCTGATTATTATATAATAATAAAAAAAAAAACTTTTAATGTAATAATTCAACCCTCCGGTTGGTTGTCTTAACAAGGCTTGATAATAATTCGTTTTGAAACTTAGGACAACCTTTCCGGTTTAACCACCCTTCAGGTTGTTTCATTTGGCTTCGGCCAGTTAATAATTAAAAAACAACATGTTCATCTTATTCGTCTTCAATGTTTGTAACTTACCGTTTTCCTGTTAAATTTTACATCGCCTGATGATGGCAGTACGCCAAAACTATAGTCGCTTTTATTTTTAAAAACTTCAACGAATAAAAACTATATGGGGAAGGTTTAGAGAGTTTTTGATCACACAATATACTTCAACCCCCATTTCGAGGAACGATGGATCCAACCCAAATTTGAAACTAATGTTAGATTTTCCTTTATTCCAAGTGCCTATGTATCAAATTTCGTTCAAATACTTTTATAAATAAAAAAGTTTGCAAGTCGGTTTATAAATGGTCGAGATGCGAAAAGGGCACTGTGAATTTTGAATCGATTCGTCTCAACTTTGGGCATTGCGTATTATATGGCTAAAGCTATGCCCATATTGAATTTCATGCAATTCAGTTAATAACTACCTAACGGAGATGTAAAAGCGATCGGACCTTTATATTGTACCTGTATCTGTAGCGAGTTACTTTACTGTCAATACCTATATCTGATGTATAACTGGGTAAGTACATAATACCTAAAGTGCCTGTAGTGGTAAAATACAGATGGGGATCTGTGGCAACACTGTTTATGAGTGTAAATGATCACAAAAACAATCTAGGTACGTACAGCAAAAATCAAGTGACCTACCTGAAGGTAGCGTATCAACATCTATAGTGGCGGACTCTCCACTCATTATCGTATACGGAACAACAGTGATTCTGTATTGAGAATACGGAATGACGTTAAGTAACCGAGTTACGTTACTTGACTCTCGTAGCGTTCTTCTGGAGCTGTTGTTTGGTATCTTAGCATCCGGATAACAGCCGAGGTAATTAATGTGCTGTAGCCAATAATGGAAATTAAGTGCTAAGACATTTATATAATTTTTCACGTACCTCGTAAGACACTTCATAATGTCTTATTCTTCCATTTGGCACTAATGGTAGGTTCCAGCTTATTTCCAGTGTCGATTCATCTATGGGCGACGCGTTTAATTTATCTACTCTCTCTGGGGCTGTAAAGTAGAATTAAGTATTAATAGTGATCGACACCTGTACCAAAAAATTGTTGATCATGAATCCTAGTTAATGAAGGGTGGTAACAAAGTTGATACAGGATGTATCAGTTAATGTGTTATGTGTAAAAGAAACAAGTTAAAACGCATTTCCACATTGATAGTGCTGCGTCCCCTTTCGTTTTTCCTTTAATGAAAATACCCTGTACATAACCATTTTGTCCGTGCCTGTATATATTCGTACTTGTTACGTGTGCGTGCACGTGCACCGCAGAAGCGAAATTTTGTACTCCTCCCATGCACTGTTGAGAAGCCGTCGACTCTCCGAGAGAAAATTAATATTTTGTGATTTCCGTTTCGTTAATTAACTATTAGCCGATTTTTGTTTCCCAATATTACGTGAAAATGTGTTGCAGCAAACGGTGTCTGATTAAGCTGTGAATGGAAGCGCGCTAATTTATCAAAATGATTAAGCCGTTTCCCAGATTTTTGGGAGACAGGCAACCCAACAATTAATTAAAGAAGTTTTAATTTTGAACGTTATCATACGAGTTCGCGGTGACGGTGCTTGTTAGGAAGTCCAACGTGTCCCTTCCGAATTTGCGAAATCCTATAAAAAGTACGAGCGTGATTTATGGGGGATCTTTTGGTATTTTTAACGCTGACCGTTAAACTTTTGCAATTTTATCGTAAGTGTAATTGAACTAGACCGTTTAATTTCAAGGTAGGTGTTTACCAATTTTCATTTCCGTTGACTATAAGGGAGGCATTTACTTTCTTTAATGTTGTTTTCCCAGTAGATACCGAGAATTCATTTCGCTTTAGTTTAGTAATCCTGTTTTAGGGTTTGGTAGTGATCGATCGTTGTTGCTTGAGTAAGCGTTCTCTGATTGACTGCGTCTCCCATTCCAAAACCACCGATCTTGACCGGAGCAGGGAAACAACTCCTGGTGGCGATCAAGACTGTCGTCTTTTTAAAATAACCACGCGCTCCAGCGTGAGGACATTATTATTTTAGTCGTGTTAATCATATGTGATTTGTGATAAATCATTGGAATATCAATTGCAATGGGAAAAAAATCTTTACTAATCCAGAGAAAATCATATACAGAAAGCAACATTCCCTCACCTCCTTCTTGGGTTTGAAAACCTAGCATTAGCTGAAACTCGTCACTAATTATGCTAAAGAGTCGTGCGGTATAGTTGCGGTACGGTTTTAAGCGTAGTATTTCAAACTCAAGCATGTTCGAAGTTATAATTTGGTTATCAATGCCAAGACGATACAAACTTGCTGGGCAGCTTCCTTCACCGCTCTAAAATGAACATGTACATTATAATTACTGTAACTAAATGTATATTCTTACTACAAATGTGATTAAAGCAGATTCATTAAAAGTTTGAATACTAATTCTGTCCATTTGGATATCTAAAACGGTCAAAATTTATAAACAGTTTTTTTAGTTTCAAATCTTACATTCACATGTGGTGGTAACGTTTACGTAGGGTACAATAACACCTTCAAACGAACTGTTATCTGCTGTAATCAACACTGCTCGAATGAGATAAGATGTCAGAACTTCTAAATGCTTTATCTGAAAAGGAAGTTGGTCCCTGAAGTCTATATTTTCCGAATTATTCCACTCCGTTTGACTTATGGTCTAAAAACGATACCATCACTGACAGATATGTGCCAAAAAGTGGCAACGTTTTGTATACCTTATACTGTATTTTATAGAAGATGGGCACTGCATTTCCATCGTATGATACATTCAGTAGTTGAACCACTATTGAGGTGTGATTAATTATTAAAACAACTGGGGGGTATTGTAATATCGGAGAAGGTGCTATAATAAGAATTAAATCTATAATTAATTGGAGCTTGCTGTGTCTTTATTACGTAGTTTGCATTGTGGATCTCCGAAACCATGCAGACATGCACTGAGAGAACAATATCCAGTTACAATATTACACGGTGGATATGAGCAGTACCCGCATGTTTCTTGACATTTAAACCCATACGTGTTGTGCGGACAGGCTAAAATGTTACTATTAGCGTTTTCAGCTTATTAGGCAGACTTACGATCTTCGCACGCATATCCTGTATATCCTTTGGCACATCTGCACACGTTCTGACTTGACTCTTCTATTTCACAAATGGTACTTTTGTCACAGTTAAATTTGTTTGGTCCGAATATCTCACTACAACTAAAGCAAGCTTTTCCAAAACGACCGTTGCTACAAGTAGATTCTGAAACAAGAAGAGTAAAGTCTGACGACACAATAAACCAGATTTTACCCCGTGGTGATTCATTATCTAAACCAGTATAACTAACTTGGAGAGAAGTTTTGATTACTTCACACGATACTTCAGTTAAATCTAGTGAATCCGCTGTTAAAACACGAATTTCTGCAATAAAAGTATGAACAATTACTACATTTCAATGTGAACCTGGGGTACCATTTTCAGAGCATAACTCGAAATAGTCGACCGACCAAAATGGATTTTTACATTCATCACAAGCACCTGAAGCACGTAAACGCACTTTAGCCGATATCCCTAGTAACGGTGCCGTTATCCTTTCTTCTTGCCATAATCGATCCTAAAATAGATATTTATATAATTATAGACCATGGGGTTCATCTTTTACTGTCATCTAACAAAGGTTTAGTACTTACTCCTTTACTGGAGATAGTTATTTGGTTGATTGGTAAATAATCCGCCACGGTGCCATCAAAGTATAACACTTCCAATGTTAATCTGCATTTGGAGCACATCGCTACAAAAAAGGAAGCGCAAAAGGTTTTTTCTCTGGTAGATATTTCCTCTCCTACTATCTTCTCTGAGAATACTTTGTTGGTGGTAGAATAGTCATCTAGAAAAACTATTAATTGATCAACGGAATAGTATATTCTTCTTACAATCGTGCACCCTCCAATAACCCGGAATTTTCTTACGGCTAACAACCACAATTTTTTTAGTTTCGAATGAGGATGTCTCTTCATCTGTGTAATTTAACATCGGATTCTGGTCGCCCACTTTGTAAAATAAGATGTTATTATCAGTGCGTCGTATAGTGAAATGGGACCATTTCGATGTGTCTAATACGCGTTCATTTGTGTGCTGAAAAAGGTAATGGTGTGACTCAAAACGATTTACGTGAACCTAACATAGGGATGTGACAGAGCCCTCAATCCACCGCAAAGTCATGTTCAAACTAAAATTGAAAGATTTTGTTATTAAAAAACGATCAAAAAAAATTCGAGGACAAAATATTGATATTTACGTCCGCTGTAAGCATTTTAAAATCAAGTACCAGTGCGAAGAGAAAAAACGTACCTGTGTGCGAGACTAGACCGCGTGACGTCAGTTGCCAACACATTTGCCGCCGTACTGGCGTATACGAATTCACTGAATTCATTTATGCTGATTAATTTTTCCATCCAAAGTTTCTTGTAACTTTACAAATAGCGCATTTATCGCAAAAAAACCTATTCATTTTCGAAAATGCGCTGGCGTTTATATATTTTCCAAGATATCAAAAAATAATGTTAACACAGTGTTAGTGATTTTTCCTCACCTTCCTGACGGTAAAATAAAATTTTTATGACTTGTGGGTTTCGTACGAAACTCTGGATAGGACACACAGGAGATTATTTTGTAAATTGCAGTTCTAACTGCGAGTTACACTAATTTACAGTTGTAACTGGGAATTATCCTTGACAGTTACAACTGTAAATTAGTGTAACTCCCAATTATAACTGTAAATTATAAACTAATTCCAAACACCAATCAAATGGGGCCTCCGGACTCTCGATAACGCGTCTGCATGGTGTATAATAAAGATACGAGGAAACCTTGAACTTACTGTCTCTACTAACATTGGTAAGTACCAACTACTGGATAATCGCACTGGCCACATTCCAAAACTTGGGACACTTAATTTGTATTAATAAATTTGCTTTTAAATGAGTGCTATTACTGGTCGCGTAATTCCACTGCTCGCACTTAACATCTTTGCAAGAATTAATCTGCGCAAAATCAACTTTCTAATTTATAAATATTTTTTTGAAATTTTAACCAAAGATTGAGAGAAAGAAAGATAGAACAGTATTCACGGACACGGACGACTCGGCTCCGCGCAACTCGGCACCGGACTACTCGGCTCCGCGCAACTCGGCACCGGACTACTCGGCACCGGAATACTTGGCTTTCGGACGACTCGGCTCTGCCATAACTCGGCTTCAGGACTACTCGGCTCCGGAACTACTCGGCTCTGGGATTAATCGGCCCCGGGATTTCTCGGCTTCAGAACTACTCGGCTCTGGGACGACTCGGCTCTACCATAACTCGGCTTTAGGACTATTCGGCTCTGGGATAACTCGGCTATGATATTACTCGGCTCTGCGACGACTCGGCTCTGCTATAACTTGGTTTCAGGACTATTTGCCTCTGCAACTATTGCGTGACATTTCAATTTGCACGACGTTCAATATTTAAACATTCCTTTTTTAGGTTTAAAGAAACAGAGCTCAGAGCCGAATGATTCTCGCGGTGCCGGGTAATGCTGCAGCAGAGTTATCCCAGAGCCGAGTAGTCCCAGACCCGAGTTATCCTAGAGGCGAGTAAACCCAGAGCCGAGTTATCCCAGAGCCGAGTAGTCCCAGAGCCGAGTAATCCCGGAGCCAAGTAGTCCCGGAGCCTAGTTGTCTCAGAGCCGACTTGTCTCGAAGGCGAGTAGTCCGGTGCCGAGTTGCGCAGAGCCGAGTCTTCCTGTACCGCAGTATTCATGATTTAACTTATTTTCCTTTTTACACATAAATAGTCATAAATCTGACATTTCGGGAAGTAGGTACTGATCAATTCATGGTAAATGCGCACACCTTTTTTCAATCATTTTTAAAAAATGGGCATATAACACCTTAAAATGAGCTCTCTTAATCCTATGGTTTCAGCTTAAATTATTAATTAGGCTATAGAAATGTATGCCAAATGAATGTTCCCAGGAGAATCAAAGCTACGTTTACTACCATTGTATTTATAAACGATATAAATACAATGCTACTACCTACTTACATTTTTTTGACTACGTAGGGTACCACATGGGCCCTTCGGATATTTATCTTCAGCTGTGGGTATTTTACCAGTTTCGCATTTCCTAATACCTGTCATATAACCGCCCCACCCACCTATTATTATCCAGTAACAATTTCCATAGGGCGGCCAATAGTGATCGCACAAATAAATATGAGCTTCTAGCGTTCGTATTGAAATGTGAATTTGAAATCGCTTGTAATTTGATATAGTCGCAAGTTCTTTGAACTTGAGGGAGCCGTCCGTATGTAAAGTTGTAAACTCTGAAACAGTCTGGTATTAACACTATTTTTCTAAACCGTTATACCCGGTAATCACTTTCCCACCGGCGGTCTAATACTGGTCCCAGAAAACCGTTGAGGGAATTTCGGGACTCCCAACCGATGCTGTCGGTCCAATAATACACACATCCCCGGTAGTGCTTCCTATCTATATTACAGTTATATTGGCTGTCACGCTTGGGAATGAATTCTGAAACTAAATTAAGAATGAATGAACGTGTAAACAAATATAGAAAACGAGCTCCTGGGTATGGCTATAGCATGTGCAAAACCAAATTTTGAAGCTGGCGTTTAATTTGCTTTTATTCCAAGTGTCTATGTATCAAATTTCATTTAAATACCTTCATAAATAAGAAAGTTTGCTGTGAATGCTGATCGATTAGGCTCAATTTTTGGAATTGCGTTTGATATGGCGAACGCTATACGCATATTGAATTTCATACAATTCGGTTCATAACTAACGGAGATGTCAAAAGGGCCTTCCTTATTTTTTGGCCTACATTGCCAATTCACGAATTCCGATCTACAAATTTGATAAAGAATCCACCTGCAAAATTTCATCGTAATTGGTCCATTCATTTACGCGAGATCGTGCTAACGGACGGACAGGCAGACACCGCAAAATTATAAACTCGCTAGGAGCTCGTTAATACACTGCACCAATATAGACAACAATCGACAAAGTCACTTCCGGTTGACGAATATTGACCAAAATTTAATCATAAACTCGCTTTGTGTCGCTCGAAGTTAAAAAATCTTCAAATGCGGCCATGCGGCCTCCCCAAATTTTTGTTATGCATTCATTTTGTTTGTTTGTTTGTTTATAAAGATTATTTGCGAATGGAATAAATTTTCTTTAATTATTAGCGTTGTAGTTTGCAGCGTAGCTAACTAACATTCTTTGTGTAGTAATCTTTTACTTGGTTTTCGTTTAAATTAGTTAGTTTTGACCAAAGCCGAAGTTTATTTAATCTACGGGAGAATAGTGTTGCCAAAGTTTGATATTGCATATTATTTGTACAGAAAGGTTAAAGGTACGTTTTCCAGAAAGACGCCTCAATATTGCTTATTGGTCGATTCTGTATTCATTTACTGGTTTATGGCAATAGCTTATGTCCATGACCTTGGCAGGCCTACTACAGCAGACCATGGTTCTGCTTACTCATATCGTTAGTGTTCCGTTAGTGCACGTTAGTGGCGCTGAAGAAATCGTTAGTGCACAAAAGGAAACTTACTATTTTTAAAAAAATATTTGTGGGCCTGCTAACTTCATGCCAGCAGACCCATTTGAGAAAATCGATTCAATCTTTACACTAATTAAACTAGCAGCGTTAGTGCCCGTTAGTGCCGCCAATATAAACGTTAGTGCTCAAAGTGTAACAACTCAAAATGTTGTAAAAAGGGGTCTGTTAACCTTTTTGGTGCGGATCCCTTGCAGCACTAACGTTCGCATTTGAAGCACTAACGAGCACTAACGAGCTGATTCAAATTCGCATTAGGACAGGGCCAAGTTAACAAATTTGGGTCTGCTGCATGAAGTAAACAGACCCCTTTTTACAACGTTTTGAGCTGTTACACTTTGAGCACTAACGTTTATATTGGTGGCACTACCGATCACTAACGTTGCTAGTGTAAGTAGTGTAAAGATTGCATCGATTTTCTTAAATGGGTCTGCTGGCATGAAGTTAGCAGGCCCACAAATATTTTTTAAAAATAGTAAGTTTCCTTTTGTGCACTAACGATTTCTTCAGCGGCACTAACGTGCACTAACGGAACACTAACGATATGAGTAAGCAGAACCATGGTCTGCTGTAGTAGGCCTGTCTAGTGCATGGACATCAATAGCTTCCAATTGAGAATTGACTGAGTTGTACCTGAGCGTAAGTGAAAGAGTTCTTCACTTTTATCTGTTTCTGGTGCCTCTTCTTCATTGTATAATTGAATAATTTTTTACTTACCAATATTTGTAACTGAATATTCTTTGGACGGTATACGCGTTATCCAAGAAACTGCAGAACTCATGCCTTCTCCAGCAATGACACAAGTGGCATTATATTTCGATTCGGTAGTGGACTTTTGTAAGACAACTGCTATATCTCGTTGGGAAAATGTTGAACCAAATAAAAGTAGTACACTGCCAAAGCTGTAAAAGAAATAACGATTTTAAAGTCAAAAATCAAAAACGTCAATTGTGTTATTTTTTTGCATAGTTATCAAAGTTAAAACAGTAAAAAATCAATTTTATCTCTCATTGTATTCTAAATAAAGGTCTCAACGAAAGGAACCATTTTCTACCAACTACTACCCTTCTTTCTGTCCTCTTATCAAAGTACGGTGAGGGGGGGGTGGTATCCTTCATGGTACTCTAATGAAAGGTCTCAACGAAAGGAATTCATTTCTACTAACCTCCTCCTCGACCTCTTATCGTGATCGGGTATATTCCCTTATACCTCAAGAACGGATTGTCGGAAGAGGGTACTCACAAAGGGCGATTGAGACGTCTGCACGAAATATATCCATTGGTGATGTCAAAACAAAAGCTATTTCGGTTTAAAAAAATGCGCTTTATCTGCACAAAAGTTGTGCACAATTTATACTTGTTTTATTTTATTTAGCCCAGTTAACCAACTCTCTATCTATCTAATAAGCGATATCTCAGAATTTAACACGAAATTTGATACAACCTGTATACAGGGTGGTCCACTAAAAACAGTCAATGCCAATTTTGGTTTGCCATTTCTTAAATTAAATCTTTCATGTATGAATGATAAACATGATTATTTGCGTGTTCAGAGCTGCTATTGTGGACTATCCTTTATAGATTTTTCTTGCTTTTAAAGGCAAGTCCGTCGAGGGCTACAGCGGTTGCCCGGGGCAACTTAAGAAAACAACTGTTAATGGTTAGTAACGGCATTGATTATATAAATCAATGGTAACGGGGAAATATAGACCCTAGCAATTAGTCAAAATCCGAAGTCTCTAGGTGTAAGGTGGCCCAGGGGCCGACACTTCGATGGAACAGGCAGACGGAAAATCGAGCACATAGGCGTTCCTCAACTTCGTTGTTACGCTAAAAAGTGAATGTAAAAAATGTATAAATGTCAGAAAAAACCTTGGCTGGGTAACGTCCCAACTTCTTTATAGGTCTAGAAGTCTAGATGATAGAGGATTGCGCAATTTCATTTACAACGGAGCGGAAACTGTACCTACATCTTTGCCATAGGATCACAGATTGTTAAAAGTTGAATTTTAGATTCCGACACAACCAGTTGATTTATGGACATTCATTCAATAGGGACGGCAACTGATGCTGTTCTGACTGTTTTCAAATTATATCACTGACTAATAACTTACCTGTAATAAAAACACATCATTTCAAAATATGCTTTACTTTAACATGCAAATAGTTAAACTGTACAGCTTTTGAGTGCTGAATATGGGTTTTTTCATTTTATCTTGTACATCCGTTTAAATGTGATTAATTTACCACGATAACGTAAATGTTATGAATTTAGAATAATCATTCTTCGGTGATTCATCGCGCAAATGCATTTCGCCATCCTAAACCGGAAGGAAAACTCACCGAATGGAAAGGGTGTTCACCATTAATTCTATTTCCCACGTTCCTAGGAAGATTGTGCAATTTTTATGTGTGGATCGATCAATTACGAATTTATGCTGATATTGTTTTGGTCAAATTACAGCTGCATTGTTCAGGGAAAACATAAATCCAACTGCCCCACACTCCAATTTATCTCAATTAGATTTGTTTCGATCTTGAAATCAATATTTTTCTAAATTTCTTAATTAATTTTATTGTTGAAAGGGCAATTTTTTTAATTGATTGACCATTACCCACATTTATCCAACTCAGTTTTTTATAAAAATGACAGTGTTGTCTAAATACTACAAATACTGTAATGTGTAGGATATTCAAACTCTAATCACTCATTTATGATTACTCGGTAGAATGAGCAACGCGCTATGAGACTTTTTTATATAATCTACCTAGAAGTGCAAGAAAAGGAATTGAAGGCGAAACAAAGTTTCAACTTTCAAGTAGACATGAGAAGCAAATCTCGTAATTGTTTTTTTTCCACTTTATGGAAAAATAGTAGTTGACTGATTTCTTAATTCCTGGATCCAGGATTCATCGATAGACTCTAGCCCTATAAATAATCTTGCTCATGAGCAGTATTTTGACTATTTTCCATTGGAGATTAATTGACTACTTTAGTAACTGATCAATGCCCAGACTTTATTAAAGATACGAATTGTTCTATTGCTAGTGTTTCATTTTGCGATGCTTCCCCAGACGTTGCCGTTTGGTACACTGGCTACGCAGTTGTCAAATCTAAAAACTCGTGACAAGCTTCTCTAAGGGTTGTCTGGTATATTCGCAACCTAGTATAGAGCAGTTTTCTAAACAGCTTGCCAAATGGTAGGTATTCATTGTCGCACCTAACAAAAAATCCCTTTCGGCTCGGCCGATCAGGTGTAGGTAGATTTCTTTAAAGTATCCGCCATTTTGTTCCAATATGGTGGATTCACGAACTTGACCGAGATATTTATGAGTTACACCAACCCTTAAGGTTTGGTCGCAATCGGTTCATAATTACGAAAGTTAGAGTGTTTCTTGGAAGTGATATATACAGTGTGTAAAGCGATGGGGTATACAAGAGGGATTTTTTTAAAATATTGATTTATGAAAAAAATTTATTCTTCATGATATTTTTTGCTTGTTTTGAAAGTACCAATAAATATAATAATAAATAATGATTTCTATAAATAAATTTTAGATTATCGAAACGTTATTGGTACTTTCAAAGCAAGCAAATAATGAAGAATAAATTTTTTGCATAAATCAATATTTTAAAAAAAATTCCCGCTTGTATACCCCATCGCTTTACACACTGTACATACAGGGTCATTCTTGACGAGTGTCAGTTAGAAAGATATGGAAAACCTTTGAAAATGAAGATAAACTGATAAGTTCTTTAAGGGTTTTGGCACAGGATGAATTGAACTAAAATATTTTCAAAATGGCGCCACTTCCGGAAATACCGGAAGTAGCCATCAACTTTGTTATTTTAAATAGGGACCCCCTATTTTTTCTACATTTTCGGATTCTACGTCGAATTTGGAGTACAACGATACCCCATAGTTAACTCTTTGCTCCAAGGGCTTCGCCGATATTCAAGTTTTTGTGTCAAAAATTGAATTTGCAGGGGTAACTTTAAAAATTTATTATTCGAAAACGGTGAGAGATATTGCAAAACAATTTTCAATGCTTTATTAAGGAAAGATCAAATTTTCTTATGGTGTGCGTAACCGTCTTAAAAAGTGAGACTACGTCACTTTTTTAAATCTCTCAACTTTTAAACCTTTAAATATCCGTAACTCCATTTTTTCAAATGGCACCCCCCATTTTGTTCTTCACCCTTGTTTTCCTTTTTCCCAGACCTTTAATTTGATGCAAAATGTCAAAAGCTGCTTCAAACGGTTTCCGAGATATTCCATTTTTTAGTTACTTCTTGTGGAAAGTTGATAAAAAAATTAAGTCGCTTGATGTTATTCTTTTGTTTTTATTATGCTAATGTTTAAACGTCAAATTTTCGCTGCTTTTCCTGGCAGCTATTCGATTACATTCACCGTGTATTAATATTAAATTCAAAAAATCTTCATTAGTGTAACCCAAACAAGCCATTATTGACGAGAAGTATAAGTTCAAGCAGCGAAAATTTGACGTTTAAACATTATCATAATAAAAACAAAAGAATAACATCAAGCGATTTATTTTTTTTATCAACTTTCCACAAGAAGTAACTAAAACATGGAATATCTCGGAAACCGTTTGAAGCAGCTTTTGAAATGTTGCATCAAATTAAAGGTCTGGGAAAAGGAAAACAAGGGTGAAGAACAAAATGGGGGGTGCCAATTGAAAAAATGGAGTTACGGATATTTAAAAGTTTAAAAGTTGAGAGCTTTGAAAAAGTGACGTAGTCTCACTTTTTTAGACGGTTACGCATACCACAAGAAAATTTGATCTTTCCTTAATAAAGCATTGAAAACTGTTTTGCAATATCTCTCACCGTTTTCGAATAATAAATTTTTAAATTTACCCCTGCAAATTCAATTTTTGACACAAAAACTTGAATATCGGCGAAGCCCTTGGAGCAAAGAGTCAACTATGGGGGTATCGTTGTACTCCAAATTCGACGTAGAATCCGAAAATGTAGAAAAAATAGGGGGTCCCCATTTAAAATAACAAAGTTGATGGCTACTTCCGGTATTTCCGGAAGTTGCGCCATTTTGAAAATATTTTAGTTCAATTCATCATGTGCCAAAACCCAGAAAGGGCTTATCAGTTCAGCGTAATTTTCAAAGGTTTTCCATATCTTTCTAACTGACGCTCGTCAAGAATGACCCTGTATATAAACCTATAGTAAACATAGTAACCTATAAATATACTGGTACTATTACAATAAATAGATAGAAATCCACCTAAAAGGACTACAATTGATTCCAAAAACGATGCTAGTGTGTTCTACGTCTTTTCCCTCTTTATGCACAAAAATTTCAAAAAATTTCTGTCTTTCTCATTTAGGCTAATTTACAGAAATTCCTCTTTTGTGTCAGATATGACTCCTATATCATTTTCTCTGAATCTCGGTATAAATTCTATTAAATTTAAATCCTTCTTTAATCAATGGGACATGTGGAAAAAAATGTCCGTACGAGTGAGTTCTAGCTGTTTCTTCAATAATCTTCAAGAATTCTCTTTCTTTGAAAGCTTCAGAATATTTGGAGACCAAGTTATCCTTCTCTTACTTTCTCAAGGTGAGCTCAAGCCTCTTTCTAGCAATACGATAATTGGTGAGCAATGGAGGATGTCTCTCAAGTGACGGTAACATCATCTCATATCCGCCAACAAACAACTCTTTAGCAACTAACACCACTTCTTTTTTGGGTTTTGTTCTACCGGTTACCCAAAACGCCCAATTGCCATAAGTCTGTTACTGTTTGATACTTTAGTGAAATGGCACGTAAGTATTTTCCTATTCTTTCGTAATAGATCAACCATTTCTACGGCTTGTACCACCTCGAACGCCGCAGTCCTGTCGCGGTCGCCACAACATTTTTTGCTAAACTTTAAGCACTATCCGTTACGGACTTTTTTTTTACTATGACAGGTTTCCAAAATTACTTTTTTTTCACTGTCTTTTTTTCTAAATTATCATTTTAAGGCACGTTTAGACGGATCCACTAGCTGGCGCCAGTCTCACTGACCTGCCCATTCTTGGCTGGCAAAGTGCTGAATCCAGGTCGTTTACACGTATCCAGTACCTGGCGCCAGTCTCATTGGCCAGCCATTTCGTGGCTGGCAAAGCGCTGGACCCAGGTCGCTTGAACGAGTCCCGTCAATCGTGCGTTTTCATAGTATGTATTGGCAGATTTTCGAAAAACCCTTTCAGGTTATTTTGAAAATTTCTGCAGAGTGAATGTATTCGCTTCTAATATTTTAATTTTGTTTTTTATTTCTTGAATCGTAAGGTCTTCAACACCCACCCACAGATAATTTATCTGTGACCCACATCTTTTTGATTTGTTGTAGAGACAGAAAGAAATTTTATAGATAGACATCTCCAATAAAAGTAGTTCGGGTGTTCGCATATTCAAATGATGTCTTTATTCAAGAACAAGTCCCGCCAGGGTGCGGGCCTCCGCTCAAAAACTAACCAAAATGGCGCGGGCAGCATCCATTGAACTTGAACCTATAAAAATGTGACGTTCGGTTCTGAAGATGTCTGTTAATGAAAGAGGATCGGTTTCCAAGTTTTTTATTCGCAACTTGAGCGACAGATACAAGCAGTACTACAAACAAAACACAAAAGTAAATCATTCAAGGTACACTCGTCTCGTTTTAACCTGCAAAGTAATAATTATTGCAGACTAATACAGGGATAGGGTATAACTTACCTTAGAAAGCAGCAAACTACTAATGGTAAACTAATGATAACTAAAATGATCATTATAATATGCATCGGTTGCATAACGAAACCCTTTCTCTCCCGTGCGGTGCTAGTGGTAAACTTGTAAACGGAATACCTCTGAAATTGCTTATACTCGTTTATTAGTACGGTTGTGATTGTGTACGTGGTATTTGGTCTTAGTAGTCTATTTTTTATGGTAACATTTAAGCGTTGGGACCAAGCAATTGACTCGTCTCCAATAAGGAATAATCGTCTAGTGTCTGTTGTATTGTGCTGAAACTCTGCCGCTATCCAGTATGTGGACGTGGAGGTATTGCCAGTCTTCCCCGCGTGTAGTACCTTGTCTACGACATCGTCGGTAAGCTTTGTTTCAGAGTTTGTTTCGATCAAAATTACGTAAATAAAGATACTCAAGTCGTGTGGAGGCTTGCTGAAAATGAATAAGATCTCTAACTTTGAGGGAACGAACAATTAAAAATTAAATTAAAGACTATGAACCTATCCTATGAATGAACATGTATCTAACATCCTGTGTTCATAATGAATGATTTTTAAGTAGATGATAATAAAGGACTTTATTTACATCAAGTAAATGAGACATTTAATACGTTTCTTTCCTTTCTTGATGTCTGTGAGATAATAGTCACTTAGACCTAGTAGGAATTACGTTATTGGAATTTAAGAGTAGTATTATAGTAAGTATGAGTGTTGAAAGTGATACATTTCACGCGTGTGTGATAATTACCATTTACCACACGGGACGAAGCCGAGCGGATCAATATCGCACAAGATGAAACGTCCCTTTCTATTAGAGGTACACTTTTTTCCTACGACTCCCACTAAAATACCAAGTTTAGTGATATTCATATAATGCAATACCTACTTCTACAAACGAATCAAGATATAGTCAACATCATTATTTAACAGACGTTTACTATGTTTATGATACAAGTTGCACTATTGAGTGCGTGCATGTTTTGTATTCTAACGACAAACTATGCGATTTGCTTTTGCCTGCGTTTGTTGACAAGTGAACCAATTACATACTGACTTACCTATTTTAATGAAAGTATTATTTTCGAAGGGAGTTGTAGGAAATAGTTATTTGTACAACTAGAGAAGAAAGGGAAGCTTTTCAACTCGAGTTCAAAGTTTGAACGAGAGTTGAAAAACGTTTTCTTCTCAAGTTTTGTATCATTTTTTCTCGAAACTACAATCAAAATTGAAAAATTATCTAGATACGAGATGTTTCAATTTAAAATGTCATTATTAAGATTCACGCAGTACCTAATCGTTTTTTACTTTCCTCACTAGAGAGGAAAATCACATTTTCTTCACCCTTTAGAGACGAAAATAGTTGCTTCTAAAGTAGTTTCAGAAAAACATTATTTTGCACTCGTATGAGTAGTAGATGATTGTCTTACCTTTCGATCCACTTCTGGCGAGGAATATAAAAGAGCATAGTATTTGTTGTTATGTTTGCTGTGTTTACAGTTGAATCAAATGTAGGCTTTCTAGGCGGACTTGATACGTTTAGCAATTCTAGCGATATTGCATCATTTGAAAGGGCCGTAACGACGATGGTTAAATCGGTAGAGTAACATTTATTCGTAAACTTTACCTGAAGTTTAATAATGCGAGGTATATCTAAATTCAAAACGAATCGTGTTATTACCAAATAAGAATAAGTGCAGTTAATATGCTCTTCAGTCCCAGGCAGTATATACTGGTAGCACGAATCATCACCAGATACGATGTTAATTATGAAATGAGCGATAGGTTCATCGAAGGTATTATTGTAGGTCCACTTTAGATATAACTGATCACGTTTGTCCCAAACTGCATTTATCCATCCTGTAAAATGTTAAATTATAGGTAATTATACTCATAATTTATAGTTTATACAAGCTGATGCCCAAATGTTAAGGTATCTCAGCCAAACTCATAATTTATTCCATTAAATAATTGTTTCTCTATACATAAGCATTCTACCTATTACAAAAATTCACAGATTTCGCAATCATTGCAACCATCGAAAAAATTGAAAATGATAACCGTATATAAGGTCATAAATGTAAAACACAAATAACACTTATACACACGGAAATAATTGCACCACTCGCTCGCAAGCTCGCTCGTGTCGAAAACGTAAACTGTCTAAATACTAAGCGTCCTAACATGCTTGTAATACTATCACCACTGTCTCCTTTTCTGCTTGCAATACCGGCAACTTCATACCCATACAAAACATATAAGTATTTCCAATGCTAAAAATAACGGGCAATCAAAAATCGAGTCGCCTTTGGAAGTAGCAGTTAAGTACGATTTCCCATGTATACAAAAATTCTAAAGGTGACTAGACAGTAACTCATTTTTGATCGCATAGTATTTGGTATACTTCGTCTCAATGCTTTGTGTTCATTCAAAGTGAGCCTATAACACAATAAGGAAGCACCCGTTTTCCACCTGGAAATTACCAATTTTAGTGATCACTCTGTAGAAGAACACCCATTATCAGCGATTCGTTATGAAGATTGTCGCTTCGAAAAGAATTATTTGTATTTAGGAGTTGGAAATATAAGGTAGAAATTAGTGGGTTAATTTGTAGAGCCGCCCGTTAAGAAAATAAGAGGCAACATATAATTTGCCGTTTGCAACCGTTCCCGTAGGAATATTTAAATTATTTTTACAGCCGACGCGCCTAAAGCGCTCTTGCCAGGGAAGAACAGAGAAAATCAATCTTGTTAAGTTTTAGGTCCTTTAATTACCCAGTAATCGATTTTGATTTCTAATGGTATACACATTCCAAGGAACAAAAGGGCATTGCTGGACGGCCGAATGTCTGAGATTTCATTCCGATTTAGATAAGTACAATTAACCGTAATTAGTTGAATGGGTTACAAATAAAAGCCTCCGATAAAGTCGAGATTGCATCCGTTAGATGCGCCCATAAAAAAAAATTTAACACCGGTCCCGTATTTTTAAGAAAGGACCTACTTAATTAAAGAAGTTTTAATTTTCGAGCGTTCTCGCAAATACATGCCGTCGAGCAGGTCGAACTTTATAAAAGGTAAAGCCGTTGTTTAGTCGAGATTCTTCTTGCCATTTTACTTGCCGTAAATAAGTTAATTTATCGAGGTAAAACAATATACACTTACAAACAAACAGGTAGGTACCTTGCTCCAAAATTTTCGAGATACTTATTTACAATTCAATTTTTACATCGCCAGTACTCTCGTCTAGACGATCTTTCCGCCCTTTGAGAGTACCTCCTCGAAGACTCCGCTTCGACTTCACTAATAGATATGTGTCGTCCGGACGATTAATTTTGCCTTTGTGGGTACTTTCCTCCCACAAACCATTTTCGTGATATTCACTCTTAAAGTTTTAGCATTACCAATGGATATATTTCTTCCAGACGTCCCAGTCGCCCTTTGCCCTCCACCGGCCATTGCGGTCCTTGAGATATAAGGAATTATATCCGATCATGATAAGGTGTTGAGGAGGAGAATTATGGTTGGTAGAAATGATTTCGAAGGATAAAACCAGTTCACTCCTCAACCTCTCCACAAAGAAGAGCGGTAGAAAACAGTTCCTGTCTGTCTGTATGTAGGTAAGTACGTACGTTGATAAGTTTCCGTAGTAACGATTCGGCGGATTTTGTTCAAATTTTGGATATGTATATTAACCATAGGGAAACGAAAAATAACGGGCCGGATTTTTGAAAAAAACATTTTGAAGCACCGCAACAGCGCGGAACTTTTTTTTTCAAATAGCAACCTAAAGATTTTACTAAGTTATTCGAAAGACCTTTTTTTCTGTGTACAGGGTGGTTCAAATTCGTGGCTTACCATTGGGATCTCTGTAACGATGAGATATACAGTGTGAGTTAAATGGGGGCAAAGTTGCGCCTTTTTGTGATTAAAAGACCGAATTTTAAAAATCCAGTATGGCATGGCGTCCATAAGAAATAAGAAAGTAGTAACCTGTAAATTCTACACCTAGCGTGTTCTGGTAACAGATACAGATTCTCCGAAAAAAAGTACACACGACTGAGTAATTTTGCCATCTCACCGTTACAGAGATCCCAATAGTGAGCCACAAATTTTAACCACCCTGTAAAATTTACAAAAATTATGCTAGGTTTTATTACAAAAAAAAAGTTTAAATTAAAAACTGTGCACCGTTAAGGGTCAATGTCATACGCTTTAAGCTCGAACCTTCTGGTTGGGTGGGAGACCCTTGTGTAAACGACATAGGTGGTTATATGTCTGATGGTCCTTGCATCAATGTGATCATTTTTTGACGTATAGCCCTACACTGGAACCAAATTAACCTTTGTGCTTTTATTTGTGTAATTGCCCTAATAATTAGCAACAGGTCTTGGCTCCATCACAGAATGATCGTCGCTTCGTGAACCCACGAGGTCGACCTATAACGCGCTTCAGGCTGCAGTTAGAGAAACGTCAAAAGGTGGGAGGGTTCCCTCCCCTCGGTGAGTTATTTATTAATTTTCATAGCAGATAACCAAAGTTACCGATTCAGATAGCTATATGAACTAGGGCGTTCGTTCGATTTCTGAAGCAGTTGACAACACGATGTACTCGTACTTATTACAAAAATTCACATGGAGGTCTCCCAACCGCATTTTAAGCAATATGAAGCATAATAGATTCGAAGGAACTCGTGTTCTATAGGTGGGCATCTTACAATGCCGGTAGGTAGGTACATTATCGAATCACAATAACAGTGTTCATGATCCATGTGGATACCTATGGATAACACGTTTGACTTAAAAACTGTGGAATTTTCATTTCTATAGTGAACTATTGGTGATAAACGATAAATATTACTCATTGTTACTACGAAAATTTAACGCTAGTTTTAACAAACTTATATCACACTACTTATGTTACTGATTAGTGTACATACCATGTTCATTTTCTTGAAGGTAAGTTGCATCAATAGACAGGGCGGCGGCGGAATTGTTGCTGTTTGTATCAGTGATACACAGCACCCGTGAATTATTCTCATCACCGTCATCAGATTGGCATCTAACTGGTACCCAATGATATGAAAGAATATTTATGGCCCCTAACCCTATAATTATACTTTTAAGACTTTAATTAATAAAATATGAGCGCATATAACACTAGGATTAAAACACGACTTACTTGTGAATCATTTTAGAACACATTGACAGTGGTAAGTACTTAATGTGTTTGCGGGATATATAACGGAATAAGGACTTCCCTGATTTATCTGCTACTTCCACCGCAGTGTATGTTTCTGCCATTGATAAGATAACTAACTTGGAATAAAGTAAGTAACCACCTTTGATAGTCTACTTGTCTATATCCAAAAGTACATAAATACTACAAACGTTGCAACCATATTTATAATCTCTCATTCCTAGATAGGTACTACACCTTCTCAGAGATACCGGCCTCCTATGTACATACTTACCTATCTACTGGTCATTTCCCATACTTAAATCTGTTCATGGTAACGGTTTTTATAAGATCTGTATACACTTGAATGAGCGGGAGCAATGAAATGTATAATAAACTAAACAAATACAGAAAACGAGCTCCTGGGCACGGGATATACTGTGTCCTGGGTATGGCTATAGCATGTGAAAAACCAAATTTTAAACCTGATGTTAGTTTTGCTTTTATTTAACGTGTATATGTATGAAATTTCATTTAATTGCTTTCATAAATAAGAAAGTTGGCACTACACATCCTACACAAAACCAAATTTGGAAAATGGCGCTACATTTGCTTTTATTCCAAATGGTTATGTATCAAATTTCATTTAAATCCCTCCATAAATAAGAAAGTTGGCACTGCGCATGCGCAAAACGAAATTTTATAACTGGCGTTAAATTTGCTTTTATTCCATGTGGCTGTGCTTCAAATTTCATTTAAATACCCTCATAAATAAAAAAGTTAGCAATTCGGTTTATAAATCGTCTAGATGCGAAAAGGGCACTGTGAATGTTGATCGATTAGGCTCAATTTTTGGAATTGCGTTTTATATGGCTAAAGCTATACGCATATTGAATTTCATGCAATTCGGTTCATAGTTTACTTTTTATCAGCGAATGATTTGTATTTCAGTTGACTTCTTTTTTGCGTTAGAACGTAATTATTAATGTAATAATGTTAATTGAGTTTCTTGTAAATATAGTGTAAATAAAATATTATCAAAGTCCTCGTGTGAGATCGAAGGGACTTCAGCGCATTTTTGTGTGGCAGATCAGTGTTTTAATAGTCAGTGTCATTGACTTTGTCGGTATCCGCTTCCCACTTTCCGCATGCACCCACAATTCGCGTTTAAAGTTTTGACTCCACCATCAGTAAGATCGTGTCGGGGGCTACCACATTCCCTTTGACGGTACCCACTTCCGACGTGCCGTTCATCCGCAATTCACGTTTGAAGATTTGACTCTGCCATCAGTTAGATCGTGTCGGGGGCTACCACATTCCCTTTGTTGGTACCCACTTCCGACACCTCGTTGACTCGCAATTCGCGTTTGAAGTTTTCACTCCACCACCAGTTAGATCTTGTCGGAGTCTACCACATTTTCTTTTTCGGTGCATACTTATATTATACCCACATTTTGGTGGATTTCGCTGAAAACCTTCCACAAGATAGTACTTAATTTTTGGGGCACTTCTCATTGCTCGATCTTCTATTGGCGACACGAAAAAGAGAGACAGCGATTCGAGATTTACGAAACGTTAAACCGCGTGACAAAATTCGCAACGGAAGGTAAAAGGCGCCCGAAGTTGCCTACCTCTCGAAGACGCGCGCGCGCCTTGCATAAGGTCGTTAATTTCGCCCCTAGGACAAAAAACAAAATTCCGCAAGAGTTGTGCGCCTTTACATCTTTCCGACGACACCAATTTGAAAAGAATCGGACCAAAACTGTAGTAGAAGATAGGAAAAAACTGAAAAACCTTCACGTTAGTAAACTACACTCGAGGATGATGACCAGATGTCGCTAACCCCACATCATGTAGCCCTTTCCCTAAGGTTGACAAATTCCACGGCCTTGCTGATACACGTACAGTCGTACACCCGTTGCCTTCTACAAGAGTTCTTCTACGAGCTCACATTTGCTGCCAGCCAGCCAGCCGGCCAGCCACCCAGCCAAAGTGAGATTAATTTTTACAAATAAATTTGCAAAAATGCACTAAAAATCCATACAACTGCAGCATACCGAACGTCGAACGATCCTCGAGATATACACACATTTTTACAATACACCTTAAGCACAGTGCCTTAAAGGGCTGATTCTGTCCCACCAGATCAGCATAGCTTGTAAAACAAACTATTGGAGGTCCGTATATGTTAAATTTCATTTACGTATCTTAAAATATATACTAATTTGAGATTGCGCATGCGCAAAACACATTTTTAGCGCATTTTCCAACAAAGTTGGGTGCGAGCTATTGCAGCCACTTTCTCTGTCCGTCCGTCTGTCCGAGGCCTTAACGTCTCCTACAGTTTTCAAGATATTAAGTACATTCAGTAGCGTATAGCTCTAGCATCTGAGCCAAGGAAAATCTTGACAATTAAATTGCGCATGCCCAGACTGCGCAGTCAACTTCCTTATTTATTAATACATTTTGTTGAAATTTTAACCACAGATACTTCTGGTGAAGACAAACATATCGCATATAGTAAAAATCAGATGTGCGCATACGCAATGGTAACTTTCTTATTTATGGATATTTCTTTGAAATTTTAACTAAAGTTGCTTTTAGTGTAAGCAAACGTATCGAATTTTGCAAACATCAGATTGTTCTTTGTAACAAGAATTATAAAAAAAACCTTCTTTGGAGGGTTGGGCAGTTTTTGGGCAGTAACTTTTTGGCCCGTTAGTCGACGTAGCCGAAAAACACTAGCGACCTTTCTTACATCTGGAACACAATTTTCAAAGCGATCGGACTTTTCTACACAAAGTTAACGTGCACAACGGACAAACAGACGGGCAGACAGACAGACGGGCGGACGGACGGACAGCAATATAAAATTATAAACGATCTCGAGGATCGTTAATAAGAAAATGAGGCAAATTCTCGAATCTCAATTTTCATTTTTAATTTTTTAGAATAGGCGTCGATTTTTATGAGATGTTCGCTTCGATCCGGAGAAAATGGCCTCTGGGATAATTCATTAAGCGGCTGGGGCGCGTGTTAATAGAGGTACGCGCACGTTTGTAGACATTCTCAGCTCTCAGACGGTTCAACGGAACGGTAGGGCTCGAGCCTTCTAAATGTTAGCGTGCAAGCGACCGTGCGGAGGACTGAACACTGAGGTGCAGTGTTGATAATACTGCTCCTCGGATATCGGGGGACCTCTGAGTTGTGGCCCCTAAGGAAACGAGTTGGCAGCCAAGTCCTGGGCAAGTGCGCCCGGGGAGACCGCATTTCTGCACTACTCGAGAAAAGTGTATGGACCGGACCATAATCTTAACAAACCCTTTCTGGGCTCCACGTCCAAAGGACCGGGACCTCAAAAGGGGTGCGATAACCGGACAGGCGCCCCGAAGGAGGAGACGGCTCCAATGCAGAGCCTTATATTCAAGTGGACCAGTTTCTGTCCGCAAGAAGAATAGGACTGGCGCACAGAAGGCGATGGCCAGAAAGCACCGGCTCGAGGGTAAAACTTTGCGGATGCATCACGAACCTATGGGCAAGCCGCGGCGCCGGTGCTCAGGGTGGCCATTGTTTCTATTAGTTGGGAGGACCGTCCCTCTGATTAGGCCCTGGGATGGTGTTTCTCAGAAAGTTCAGATGCACGTCCCTAAGGCAACCAAAGTAATGCCTGTGTTATATACGGGCTCTCAGATGACACGCCATCATCTTGAAGCGTGTCCAGAAGCAAAATTCCGGTTTCAGGACGAGTCTATAGAGGACGTTCTTCCGCATGGAGGATCCTCCTCGCATTTGGTATCGATGAGGCATCTCATCGGGGACTCCAGCTGTAGAACTTTCAAATGCACGTGGGGTCTCGCACGTCACAAGAGGGCTCAATCCCTCGTTGCGAACCTCGAAGGGGCGTGGTAATTAGTACCGGCGACCTCAGTGGTCGAAAAAGATGTCGACGATCTTTTGGCTCGTGTGGCGGTTCTTGGCTCCGACCGAACCGTCGGCATCACTTGGAGAGGGGGAAACCTAGTACATCAGTGATGGACGAGGTAACCTTATTAAGGAGCAGTTTGCAACAAAGTAAGGGGGCGACCTGTCTGAGGCCATCAACTTGCTGTAAAGCAGACAAGCGTATGCCTGACATTTACAGGGGACCCATAAGAGGTCGGGGCCAGGTAAACTCTCTTTATTACAAGAGGGACAGCCAACAGAACCCTATGACTTACATGTCGATAGACGAATGGAGTGCACGGACCTCTTTTTTTAAGATGTCCGTGATCGAGTCTTATCCTATTAACTAATGGCTGATTTTTGTTTCAGTGATCCCGTAGCGCTAAAAGATGAGAAAAGACGGAGGAGGTGGTGATCTGCTCATTTCTCCCATACGACTCGGACAAGGCGCCACCTACCAGGGAGCTGGATGAGTTGATAAGTACTGTCGAAATGATGGGCTCCCTCTTGTGGTTGGCTGTAATGTTAACGCACACCATGCTGCGTGGGGCAGCACGGACACTTGCAAACAACTGATTTGAATGTTTTTATACCAGGGAGTAGCTCCTACCTTCGTCTCATCGCGGAGGCAGGTCAGGTTGGACTCCTTTTCAATAGCTCACTTGATCACAAGTGGGAGGGTGTCTAGTGCGGACCACAAGCACATTCTTTTACAACTTTACCTGGCATCCCACTGTGAACCATGTAGGTTTTGGAATCCCTGATCCACTGACTGGGAGTGCTATGTGGCGAAACCCTCAGAGCGGACGGATTGGCCAACTTTGCTCTGTAGGAAAGCAAAGCAGAGCAGGTGGAAGAGTCGGCCTGCATTAGTAAGCGACCCAACAACAGCGTCATATGAGGACACCTGTAAACTGCGGACTTTTCGAGGATCGAAGAAAACACCTTGGTGGAACTCAGATCCTGAAAAGGTTCGTAGGCTCATTAATAGGACCATGCGCACTAAGCTGCCGGCAGACTGGTAAGATCTAAGATCGCTCAGCGCAGGTATAAGGACCATATTCGGAGGTCTAAACGAGGATCATGAAGGACCTTGTGTGGTAAAATCAAAAGTCTTCCTGAAATTCAAACACTTCGGAAAATCCTTTTGAAAGACTTGGGGCAAAAAGTAGAGGCACTGAGGCTTCCATGTGGTAGATGTAAGTCTACCGCGGATGAAACTCTCACATGTCTCCTGGAAACACTTTCCAGGCTCTGGAGACTACATAATTTTGTACCCACCAAAAGGAGCTCTTACCCGAATCAGTGTAAGGCCGTACGACTGGAAAGTAGGTCCATGGATTGTTACCGAGGGATCTCTGAAATGGGTCTGCGACTGTCTGTTGGGAAGTACCTACTTCAACTCCAAAAATTTTTTCTTCAATTTTTTAATTAAAAAATAATGCCTCACATCTATATGTTTGGTTCGTGCGTGGTAGACTCCATTAGTAGCTAGGTTCTGGGCTCCTTGGTTGTCCACATGCATACCATAGGTCTTTTACAAAAAAACCCTTCACTAAGCTTCCATAATCATAAAGCTAATTCTTGGGTTGCCTTAGTCCATGCATGTACTCACTTTCAGTTCTAGGAAGGGCCACAGTGATTTGCCGATAGGTTCCCCCATGAAACATTTTTTAAGAAAACATAACCGGCGATTGCGACCTGTTGGCCCAACCAGCATCTGCATAACTAATCACCTGGCTTCTCCATTTTCCATCGAACTCCTATTTATACTGAATTGTACCCCTCAAGTACCTCATGATGCGTTTTGTTACAGTCCAGTGTGTTAGCCATGGATTTTGTGTATACCTGCTTACATTGTTGACTGCAAGATATCCGGTCTTGACACTTGTGCAGCAAACAAGCTTCCTGGTACGACACACTTCACATATGAAGCATTTCCTTCGCATCTTGAGCGCACTCATCGAGGTTTTCAAAGTAAGGTAAGTTGATTTTCTGTCATACATTGTTCATGAGCCATCACAGCCTCTTTGTGAGTGTAAGAAAAATAAAATTTTTATAGTGCTTTATTGTAAATTCCCATTTGAAAAAAATTATAATATGCCGATTACACTAGTATCACAAAGTAAGTATGTATAATCAAAAGCTTCAGAGAAAGGTGAATTAACAAGTAACAATAAATATTTTAAAAAAATAATATAATACTTGGCATTGCACTTCAAAATCAATACCATACCCTGCATCTTTAATGTACACTTACCAACACGAATCGTCCCTTCTTCAATCATTCGGCTATTAACAATAAGCAACTACTAATTAATTAAATATGAACAAAACATGTTACAAGTCATTTACCTACTTATACTTAAAAATACAAAATTGCAACAATGTTTTATAATTGTTATACAGACCGGTGTGTCTTATAGAAAACGTTTATAAAGTAGTAAATATTTCATATCAAACATTATAGTTTCTATTGGCAAAATATCACATTGTGAACAATATGATTATAGCTAATCACAAATTTTCGAATTTTTCTAGTGTGATTGTAAACTGTAAAAAATTTGAGTACTTCAATGCCCACCAAACTTTCATTTAACATTTTTAAAGCAAAACGACACTGAAACAACTTGCTCTTTTTCCTCAACGTTTGTAGTATTTTGTAAGCTAGTGAGCTTTCCAGATAATATTTCAGCAAAAAATATAAACACTAGAGTTTAATAACTTTAAATGACTCACTAGTGACTAGAGAGTTGTGTAGCATCCAAAAGTTATCTAAAAGGTGGGTTTATGGTACCCTAATTTATTAAAACTAAAAAAGTATAACATTTACATAAGATTACTTATAAAGTTATGTTTTGTATTACTACACGAAATTACTAAAAAAAATAACAAAAATAATTGTACGAAGCATGTAAGCTATTATGAGTTCTTCTAAAAAAAAAATTTTTTTTACTTATAACTTTACGCTACTTTTCAGGAATAAATCCTTTAGGCTTCGTATATGTTAAACAAACATTTTAAAACAGTTATAACGCACACTTTTTGGATACTCTACTAAGTCATATTTTGCACATTCACCCCACAGGAACATTAAATGGGTAAGATCGCCCTGCATATTATTTTTTCTTCCAAAATATAATTCATTTTCTTTCATGAAAATACCCAATTTTTTCGACAGCACCATTATTAGTTGAAGTTTGTGCTTGTTTTGCACTATTACATTATTGTCACAGTTGTAGATTGAGTAGTTTACATTGTATCCAAAATATAATTTTTATAATTCATAAGATCATATTGGCACCCTACACGTGCTAATGTACCTATACTGTGCTATTCAATTAGTGAATGATATGATAGCAGATACTGTCAAAATTTATGATTCCATGAATAGCGAGGAATTTTTTCTGTAACTAAATTAACCATTGTTTAGAATATTTTTTAATTTCTCCACATATTAATACCATTAATAAGTTAAGTTGTTTTGCAATTTAAGCCAAGGTGAAATTTTGATAAACTTGCTAATAAGCCATTTTTAAAAATAAAGTACCCAAATTATTTACATAATTAACGAACTTTTAATACGATCATACAACAAATTCTTGCAAAAAACCGCAACTCTGTGTAATTTAGTTAGAACGCAGCATATAATCATACAAAACAGCGACAACTCATCAATATTTCTACAGTTACAGCGAACCCAACTGTGAGGATTAAAATGTTTGCGCTGTTTTTTTAAGTGACAGATTATGTTTAAACACAAGACCTCCCATCAGAGCAACTAGTGCCCTATCCAGCCAAGTCACAGGATTAGGATAAATGAGACCACCTTCGTAAAATCCTAGATGTCCTCCGTGTGCTACTTCTAGATATAACGTTTCTGGTCGTTCCGCTGCAAATAAATATTAATTTAGAACATTTTCAAGTGCCAACAGCGCACAAACACTCATTTACAAAAATTGGAGATTAACTTTTTGTCGAAAAAATTGACATGGTGGTGAAGAAAACGCACCATTTATATATATTATAAATATTGTTTTAGATGAGGCTCATTGCTAAAGTCGAGGGGGTTTTACAAAAAGCAAACTTGACAGTGGCGAATCACTTCATACATTTTATAGTGCTCTGGTGAAACTAAGATCAAAATTAACTGACAGATTAGGAACTTTTATTGTATTTTTAACCGACCGTGTACCATTTTATTTCATATTCAAATAGTCACATATGAGAAGTCGACTTGCTTTGATACACATCTAAAATATAGGATCGGAAATTGAAGGTAGTTTGACGGAAATAATCAATCGTAAAATGTCGAACGCGAGGATTATTATAACATGATTCATTACGTTTCAAACTGTTATATTTACTGTATTGCAATTACAATAATCAATAACACATGAAAATATGCACACATGGCTGGATGAGGCATACAACTGCAATAGCATATTGGGGAAATCTCACAGACATAAAATTAATGATTCCAAAGTACCTGAGAGGACCTATCAAAGCTTCCAGGGTGTCAAGTACGTTTCGGAGCAATACAAACCGTGTTTCATTAATGTATCAGAAACGTCTATGTACATTTCTGAAATGGCTCACCTGCACGTGTTTGGAACCGGCGTTTTGTAGTACATGTTATGTACATGACACATCTCTGGACGCCTTCGCAGTTGGGAGATATCAATTACATCACTAAGAACTCTCCATGTTTTCTGGGGAGTTAAATTACAGATTGGATGTATGACAAGTGGAAAACATAGAACATTTGTAACTTAGGGAGTTTCTGCTTCTTTTTATGTATCAATGATTATTATAAGTGCAATACTTTATAGCAAATACAACATTTTGAAACCCGATCATTTTATACTCACCCTGTACAATTTAAAAATAATACTTACACACAAAATTTTTGATGGGCTCTAACAGTGGCTCTGGAACAATAGGATCATCTCTCGCATTGATGAAAATCATAGGCGAAGCGATGTTTTGCAAATAATTTATGCTCGAACTCCACGAGTATAGTTCTGTGAGAGATTCAAAATTCGAAATTTTTCTTGTATACGCATCATCCAACTCCGGCAAGGTGGCGGCTGATATTATTTCGTGCTCATTTAATTTGTGGTAATTTTTTACTTCTTCCGTAAGTAAAACGTGCCTATGTTTCAAAATGATATTTTTCATGTTTTCGGTCATCACGTACAAATAGAATCGACGGAAATTTTGCCAATTTAACATCCATTTCGTTCCTCTGCAAAAAAAAATAACTACATTTTCTTGCGAAATCTCACTTACTCTAAGGCACAATAACCCTGACAGACTGATATTGCTCCTATAATCTGCGTGGGTCTAACACGGTCTGTTTCTCCCATATATTTGGTAATTAAATTTCCTCCTAAACTAAATCCTATACAAATAATTTTGGTGTTTGGATATTTCTCTACTAAAGCAGTCATCATTTCATTATAATCGTTGGTATTTCCTGAAAGGATATGAATTAGAACTTTGCCTTTAGTAATTTTTTTACTTTACCATAACTAAAAATTCGAGGCGATGTTACTGGAACGCTTTTCAGTACACCCACGTGATTTAAAACGGCACATCTGTATCCATGATATTGTGCCCAATGGACGAAAGTGCGAATATAGACACTTTCTGAAGAATTTGCAATTCCAGGACAAATGGCCACGGTTATATCATCTGCAAATCAGTTCATACATTTTACTATCACATTATTCTAACAAACATTGTATGGATTTGGGATTGGAGGGTTATGTGGTCCAATGCTGATCGGATCGAAAATAGTACTCCACCCAACAACTATGTAACATTGGGCCAACTGTAAAAGCGCAATATGCCTGAATGATATAACATATATTTATAGCAAAAGCACAGGCGCATAAGGAGAACAAGCCATAAGCTAATTGCGAAAACACACCTTTTGTTAGTTTTTGTAGAAACGACGCCATAGGTTTGTTCCCTGTTTTAACATTTGTCGTTTTGGGAAGCAAGGAATATAACAGTAAGAAGAAGGAGCCTAATCCGGAAATGGCTGTGTTACCAAGTGGAGCGTCATAGAATTCTGCAAAATAAGTAGAATCGAGGGGAGGGGGTTAGTAAAATCAAAAATTATGCGCGCGGAGAGGTTTTGAATATTTTAGTATCCAAAATTATTTAACCATGCGCGTTACGTACGTATCAGCAATAAAGTGCTACAAACGTAGTTTTTTGCAACGTCTCAGTGCTAAGATCTTAAACTTCAAATAAAATAAGTAAGTTTACGCAGATGTAAAGTAAGTAGGCTAACAATACACCCTATTTTGATGTTTGAGATATTAGCATTTGGAACCCATAGAAAAATGTGAAAAATATAGATATTACTACAATGGGTCACTGATAAGGAAATAGTTATTTGTACAACCAGTTTTGAAAATAATACTTTTTTTCATGAATTTGCAGTGTGATTAATGAGGGCGAAATGCGCTGAAATCCCTTCGATTTCACACGAGGACTTTGATAATTTTTTCCTGATTGAATGATATTGCCTTAGTTACAATATGTCATAACACAGTAATATTTCCCAAGGGAAAATACATTTCTGATTACGAGAGCGGCTAATTCGAAATTCCACTCTATTGGCATGGAAATGCAACTTGTAGTTTGTTAATTATAATCACTGTCTTTAGAAATAAAATGAATTTGATTGAAAAATATAATAGACCGCCCGTGCAATGGTTTGTTGCAGAACCATAAGAAAAGTTACTTTTACATTTACAGAAAAATGTTTTAGTTCGGCTCCAGATGACAGTATGTACGTAAAAGTTGAAGTAACATTACCTAGCCAACCTTTAAAGCACTAGTGTTTTAAACGACCGACTTCGCACGTTTAAAAAAATGGTTATAACAGCGAAATCGTTAAGTTAATGTTATATGTTACATAAAAAATAAGTACTAACTACTACATATTCCAGTAAGTACTTATTAATTCTTCAATAAAATCAGGGGTGTTCAATACGCCACTGCTTTGCTCCTACATTTCTTTCGATGGTTTTTCAGGTAAAGGAATTATGATCCAAGGAACCTTAGACGCCCCACCCTGTATATGTAAAATGCAAAAGAGACTAGCAAAATGGGATACTTAATCTGGTAAAATTAATACAATTTACATTATTTGCTTGGATATTTGGCCAAAACTTAATTCCAATTTCAAATAATTGAGGGTAACCGGACCCCAAATTTCGCAAAGACCACGTTTTCGGTAAGAGAGTACTAAAAAAAGTACAAATTTCGGTAGCCATAACTTTTTTAATAAGTTCACATTCTTAAATTACGCCCCAAATTATTATGTACGTATTCAATTCAATCAATAGAAAATTGTTTCATCACACATTTTTTTTCACAAACGAAATCGCGGCAATACCATTTTCTTTAACAAATTTTGCTTTTTCGGCTACGAATTTACCAGTACTGCCCCTTCATACAGTCAAGTGTATGTAGGCACGACACAGAAACATTAGGAGAATTTATTGGACATATAAACCGTATAACATACCGCTCCCTTAAAAAACTCGTTTATATTAAGATGCAGAAGGAACTGCGTATAACATCGAAGTAGGAATTTCTGAAAGTGAAATATTTTCAAATATGAATTACTGAATCATCCTTTTTAATTATTTTTTTGGCCGGCGCCAATACCTAGGCATTTATTTATTACTGTTAAGAAATAACAAATGTAGAAGCGTTGAGTGAAAGAACGGTAGAAGCAATAAAAAATATCCTCTCGAACGGAACTTCATTCATAAATTACTATACAGGGTGTGAAACACGAGTGTGTAAAAATAATGGGCAACTTTGGGCAGTTAGGTACCTACGTCATTCCCGATGTTGTAACGATATTTCAAACATTCCCGCTTCAAGATGACCATTACCGAATACAAAGTTGGGGACGGATTTCAACTCTTTCGACAATGCCGTGGTAAAACGTATTTCTTGAAGAGATTTGGGTCAGTATTGTTTTGTGTTTTGTTAAGTGCACTCGTTTATTTTGGATTAATCTACATTACTAAGGTGAGTGCTTCTTCTTGCATAATTATTCCATGAATGTAATTAGAAATTTTGTTTATGACGGGACTAAGGCACTCTCGCCAGAGCTGGGTACTGCTCGCGAGCGTTTCGCTCGAAAAAGCGCTTCAGGCGGAAAAAGCGCTGCTCGTGAGCACTCTTCGGAGAGGCCGCTTGGTGCTCGATACTCGAGCGGTTACTTAAAGTGCTCGGCGCTCGAGCGCTTTTTTCTGCCCGCGAACGGTTTTTCTGCTCGCGAGCGCTTTTTCCGTTCCGAAGCGCTTTTTCCATTCCGGAGCGTTTTTTTCGCTCGTGAGCGCTTTTAACCGCTCTCAAGTGCTTAAGTGATTAAGCGCCGCTCGCGAGCGTTTTTTCCGCTCACGAGCACTTTTCCCGAGCACTCGCGATAAACCGCTCGAGCACTTGTGAGTGCTCGGAACTCGCAAGCGGTTTCGCTTTGCAAAACAGCTCGATGCTCGCGAGCATTTTTGAGACAATTAGAGCGCTCGCCGCGGTTTTTAAGAACGCTCGACCTAGCTCTCGATACCTACCTGTTGTAGTAAGCAGTTATTTCGCCAGCAACACAAAACTAACGATTGTTTCCATAATTATGTAGAAATTATATTACAGGAAATGAGGAGAGAGTTACGCAACTTCGGTAATTTGATTATCACTTCATAAAAGCACATACCTGATATAAAAGTAATGGAAGGTCAATGGCTGTAGCTATTTGCTAATTAACGTCAATATTTCTCGGACGTTAAGGATCCCAGTTTAGATATAAAAAATCAATGAGCAAAGGTGAACAAACCCTCTTTAAAAAATGCACTGTAGTAAATTACACAATTGTAGGAAAGGATTTCTGCAACTCCCAACATTCCGAACTTGAGGTTAACCAAAGTGTAGTTTATCTTTGCGTTAGCGAGCGGAATGTTGTAAGGGCAAATGTTAATAAATGAAGTTTACGAGACATAAATTTTAATCTCCAAACCCAAACATCGCAGGGCGAGCCTTTATGCACTGGCGCATTGTATTTGTAGTTTCAAAGCAATTTTTTAGTTTCATGCCACAGACCAGAAAAGAAATTCTCCAATTTTAGCGATACCAAAACTGCCCTTTAGCTTAACTGCAGTATCATAATCCTCCAGATCGTTTATAATTTTGTATTGCCGCCGGTCTGTCCGTGTGCACGATACCTTTGTGTAGAAACGTCCGATCGCTTTGAATTGATACACAAAGAAAGCTCGCTATTGATTTTCGGCTACGTAGACTGAAGGGCCAAAAAGTTACAGCCCAAACGTCCAAAAAAGGGGTTCTTTTATCATTCTTGTTGCGAAGAACATATGAATGCCCGGTTTTCTGTGATAGTAATTTAGTAAATATTCCTTACACCTCAGGCAACTATGATGAATTAAAAAAAATTGCAACGTTTGTATTTGCGCAATCTCAATTTCTTTATTTGTTAAGATATTTAAAGAAAATTTTGTATGTAGGTACTTCGAATAAAAGTAAAACTAATTCAGATTCAAAAAATTTGTTTACAAGCTATTGCTGATCTGGTGGAACAGAATCAGCCCCTTAAGATTTGTAGTAAAAATGATGTATGTATATGAAGATCTCGAGATCGTTCGGTATTCAGCTGTATCCGATTTTCCAAAGTTAATTTTCTCTAAAAATGAAGCTTTTTAAAGAGGGTTGCTACATCTTCGCAAAGGTTTTTTTTTGCATAATTTGTCATGTAAAATACAGCCGACACTTGCGTATTTCGGTATCCAAAGGTTATAGATCTCGACACCACGTAGAAAGTTACGTTTTATCTAACTAATAAGCGCTTTACACTTTCTCTGTCCGCCCGTCTGTCCGAGGCCTCAAAGGCAATGACCGGAATTAAATCAAACACATTCATTAGATATGTCGTAAGAAGTGCTAATACAAGTGCCATCATGAGAGGACAATCGCCGCCCAGTGTCACATAGGCGTCATGTACTCTTTTTGAGTCACACTGAAAATGATAAAATCAAAATTTGAAAATATTCTCTCGCTTATGAGATACAAATCAAAAAATTGTCAGCTAGAAAGTGATCCGACTCTTTATTATTATATTGAAAAGATTCAAATGACTTAAAAACAACAAAAAATTTAAAAGAAAATTTTAATTTAAAAAAAATATTAAAACCTTTTGTGAATTATTATATGATACGAAATTTAATATACTATCTTTGTAGATTAAAATATACGGAGTATTCCACTAAAAAAAATGAGGTTAGATCCGAACTTTTTTACCTGAGCCCGTATACTTATTTTGAACAGTAGATTATTCAGCAATCACACTTGTGTAATACAATTTTTCTGTATCTCTTTTAACTAAGAAAATCAATGGCCATGCTGAAATTGTAAATTTTATGACTTCCCCATTTTCAAATTTTCATTTTACCATTTCAAGTATGACCCAAAAAGAACCCATGACGTCCATACAACTTGTTTGATAACACTAAAATTACGGATATGCTCTATAAAGTGCCGAATATAATTACAAGTTTTAAATTGAATAATTTGAACCGAGGTTTGAACATAATAAATTAACGAACCTCATAATCTCAATAACACATTTACACATACATATCTATATAGAGTAGAGCAACCAATGTAAGTTTATATTAGTATACAGGGAGATTACCAGCTCCGAACGAACAAATGACCTTCAGGTAGGTGTTTACCTATTATAAGCTCCTCTTTACTACAAAAAATGTGCTAAAAACAAGTGCACAATGAATTATGGCAAGAGGTCTGGAAATTTCTACACCGTCGGAGTTTCTAGCATTCAACCGGTATTTAAGTGGAATAATAATTAATGACCAACAATAACTAAGTACATATTTAATAAATCAATGTAAATAAGTTCATTGTAAGAATACTTAGGTTACACGTCTCGTAATTAAAGTTCTGAGAATAATAACGTACTCATTTAACTTTTAAGTAGTAATTAATTTGCATTTTCAACATCAATTATCTCAGTACTAGAATGTAACAAAAAAGTTCTTGAAATTGATTTCATTTTGATATCCTCAATAGGCCAATATAATAATAAAGTGGGATTTTTATCGGGGTTTAATTATTTGTATCTAATTGCGACCATGAATTACCGATATGACAGCGAAATCAGAATTTATCATCAGCAGGAAATCTACATCGTTATTGTTTGATACAAACCATTACCCAGTCCTATATACATCTGATGAGATACAAACAGTAGAATGCAACACAGATGTTACAGAACAAATGCAACTTATGAAGGTTACCGGCGTAATTGATATAATTAACGGATTAACGGATGTGCACAACGGGGAATTATTTCTGATAGTTCAACAGGGTTAACCGGGTTGGTAGAAATTGAAACATTTGTGGCAACCGTAGCAAAGTCTACCAATCCGATTAATTCAATTTAATTATTCATACTTTTACATAAAATTTGTTGCGAGAAATGATGTCTAAATTCTATGGTGACTGTCAACCCCATAAATACATACCTTCGTATAGATTTTCCACGGGTTGGTAAACATCATACGTAAGAGTGGTTCCATCGCGCAGTAAAAGATAAACTCTTTCTCCTATCGGCCAACGACAATGCAGCCTCCCAATAAGACTATGTAGAATTGTTTGCATATGGCCACTAAATCCCCATAGTCGTGTAGGAATGTATCTGAAAGAAATAAAGTATGCACATTGGACCAAAGAACAGCAAAAACAGTTTCGGATTTATCTTTCATTTATTACATTTACATTTTTTGGGACCGGCACGTAAAAAGGCGAATATTAATTGCAGCTACTAGTGCGTCACGAAGCCAGGGGGAGGGGCTCCTCCTGCAGTCTCTACATTGGTCATCTGCCCATAGCCCGCTCTCGCCTTCTTATGTGCCGGTACCACTATATTTATATTTAAGTGTATTAATTTATTAATTGAACAGGGAGTGAATTGGATACAGAGTCTATAACGATCCATACAGGATTTAACTATTCTTAGACACTTTTAATTTTTTGTCGTTATCAACTTAGTACGTGTATAGGACCTTTATATTGATATCTCCGAGATGTTTAGCTCGTGGCAGTCCGCTTTCAAGATATTAAAGTTTTAGGAATATAGATATAGAAGTTGTACAGTAGAAATATCGAGTATATTCGACTGGACGATATTATTCGATTATATTGCAGTTTAAACTCAATGTTTAGTCACGTTCCAACAGATTCATGTCACTCAGAAATGACTCTTGATTCCAGTGAAATTTTGAATTGTATCCAAAAAAGTAGCTTTTTTGTATAATTTCCAGAAGACGCGCTACTATAACCGATATTTTTCAGAAACTGCCAAAATTATAACTCTATATTATTATATTTATTTATTATAGCGATCATTATATCGATTATAGTCGATAGTCTTATAATATCGCTATTCAATAGTTATTTACATAAAAGTCAGGAAAATGACACATTACTGGCGACGAAATATTGAAGTACGAGGCCCCAATGCGGCTGAGTACTTTCATTTCCGAATCAGGTGTCATTTTACTGACGAGTTTTGTATTCAATTTTACCCGAAATCGTATTTTAATATAAAATTTTAATTTCTATATACTTTTGATTAATGTCAATCTGTCAGTGATGACAGAAGTCATTATAGACATTTAGCAATGTCACAGATACGACCGGTAAAGTGACAAGCGGCAGGAAAAGTAGTCTGCTATACTTCTAAGAAAATCTAAAAAATTTCCTGACAGAACGTACGCCTCAAAATGAAGGTTTCAGAACTATTTTGGGTAAAATATTTTTCCGATATAGCCCAGCACTACATCCGAGGCTTCTTTTCGGAGCCGAGTTCGGATCTATATGCATTTGAATTTGTCTTTAGCGATGGATCCATCTAGTGGGATTCTCTCAGAGACCCTCCACTTTGCAGATCGTTCACATTTTATGTTGTGATTTCACCGACGGTAAGCTCGCTCTCGATTCTGGACGACTGGTTGGGCTCTTTTGTACAAATACCACAATTGTACCAAATTTAAACTAAATTGCTCAAAGTTACCTATAACGTTTGCATCATAAATAAAGCAGGCGACGTATTACCTGCCTTTGACAGTATTTATCGATTTGAAGATATAATTCAGATAACGTATCGATTTTGATTTTGACGGGATATTTAAAATTGACACTTATTCTGAGCACAACGTTCCCAATTTTTCTCATCATAAATTTGCCCAAAGTAAGTTTTGGATATACCAATACACATTATTTATTTACCACATAATAAATAACAGGTCCTTATACAGGCAAGGGAAAAAAGTTCCATTTTCTACAAACTCAACCATTTCTTACTATTTCACTTCTTGACAATCATTACGTTTGTAAATTACGTAAAACTTTGTTAATTATTATTCTTAACTTTCATTCAAATAAAAACATTATAAATAAAGAAATCCATTATTGATCTCCCCAAATAAGAGATGGATCCAGTTCTAAATTACAAATAAATGAAAACAAACTTAAATATTTACGCGGACATGGACCAACCGACCCTTACATAATTGTATGTCTGCTATCTTATCTTCCTAGTACCCAGCTATACAAGGTTCACCGTGTCAAAATAAAAATATATTCGAGCAATGACCGATGTTTTCATTTTCATTATATTTCACGTGCTGTTGTGGCAATTGTGAGGTCTTCTTGCAATCTTACATTGACACGAACTGTCGCACTCTTAAGCTTAAGAGTGCCAAAGTACTACCTAATTTTTGGTTACAATATATAGGGTCACTACAAAAGATGGAACTACTTTTACGCTCAAACCGTCATGAAAATCAAAATTAGAACACTTCCATTTGAAATTATTTCCTTACCTAAACAAGTGTTGTTAAATGAGAAAAAATAAGCTTTCTGATGACGTATCACATGACCGAGTAACTACAGCGCATTTTCCATGAATTGAACAGTGCTTTCCAAAAGGCGATAGCTCTGTGCGTTAGTTTTTCTTTACTAGAGGCATGTATGGTTTAAATTTCAAAGAAATATCTCCATAAATAAAAAAAAGTTGGCATTGCGCAGTTCGCGCATGAGCACATTTAATTTGTGCTATAGGTGTGCGATGTTTGTTTTTGGTTAAACTTTAGAGGGAGATCTTCATAAGTAAAAAAGTTGACATTTTTAAGTCTGCGCATGAGCGCATTTGATTTTGATCTCCATAAATAAGAAAATTAACATTACGTGCGCAGTTTAATAGTCAAGATTTTCCTTGGCTCAGGTGCCAGAGCTATACGCTAACGGATGCAAAAAGCACGAACTAAATATCTTGAAAACTGTAGGAGTGGTTAAGGCCCCGTACAGAGAAAGTGGCTGCAATAGCGTTGGAAAATGCGCTAAAATTCAAGATGGCGGTCGCACTAAAAAATCATTTGTCAAAAAATTCTTTTTTAACCTCTTTCGGGGAACACGCTCAGAGAAATGTTCCAGTATCGCACACTGCCCCCCCCCCCCCCCGTGGTACAACTAGAGAACTACACTCTGTATTGTCCCGTGCATTCAGGCGGCGGAACAATTCCACGGTGGCCACGGCTGCGCGGCACGACTCGCTTCCAGAGTGCGCCAACTTCATGCAAAGTAATGAGGTTGATTTTTCGAGACGCTGGCGCTCCCTGTGCGGGGTAATTATCAGTGAATCATTCTATAGCGCGTTCGCACCTCCAAATGCAGTATGGTGCTTATGGACATACAGTACATGCTTGCCAAACGTGACAATGACAGCACATGGAGATTATGTTTTGTTTTAATACTTCCATTTAATCATGTCAATTTGACATCAATGCGTTAGAAACAAGGATAGTATTATCGAAGAATGACGCAAACTAGTAAAAGAGGCAATTAGTCCATAAGACCCCATACTGCATCTGGAGGTGCGAACGCGCTATAGGAAAAAGTTGTACTTGATATTGTCGCCGTGCAAGAAATAGATGATCGATTAATTTGAATTAATAATCGGTAAACTGGTTGTGATCACTTTTTAAATAAAAAATATTTTGAAGTTTTCTATCGACTGGGAACTTAAAATTCCAAAAAGACTAGTAGTTTTTAATTCCATACTTTTAAAGTTTAACCCCACGCACGGATTCATCGCATCTCCAATTTCAATTTTCCCTTTGTAAGTACCCTCTTCCGTGTTCCGTCATCTTGAGATATTCGCATTTGACGACGATGAACGCAATTCTAAAACTTTTTTTCACATGCATCCGGATTGATGGATGCACAACAAGTTTTCAAAAAGTTTTTGTACTTTGCTCAACTAGAAAGCATAAGCTACAATATGAAATCCGCAATCGAGCAGCGGCTGTCCGCTAAAAATGCGTTTGGAATCGATTCTAAATGGACGTACACCATTCAATTTATATGACCTTCGTGTCATCGTTCACTCATTTGTTATTTACGCCGTAATAAGACTGCATTTTATGTCGCGACAATCAAGTCGTACTATTGATTTTTCCCGCAGTTTCCACTATTTAAGAAAATTAATGTATCTTTACCACAGAATAAATAAAAAAGCGACACTTGTCTATTTTTAAAATGTAGACCGGGGGATAATGACAGATTTTCGGACGTGATTTCTTACAGTATGCCTCTTGGAGGATATTGAGGTGTGGATATTCTAACGTTAATAACACAACTATGAATGAATCACTCCGTGTTCTTCATATAATATGCCGTCATTTTCTTCAGTATGCTACGAAGCTCTGGATAGGACACATAGGAAATTATTTTGTAAATTACAGTTGTAACTGGGAATTATATATACTACCATTGTTTAATAAAGTATTTAAACAATGATACTACCTAAATACATCTATATAAAGTGAAAAACAAAGGGACATACTGTATCAATACACGAAAATTTGTTTAACAATTTTGCAACTTCTGTTGCGTATGCCTGCACGTTTTACCATTGAATTTTACTGTCCCACTCGTTATGCCAATAGAGCATATATATCATACGTTATCATAAACTGCATGGGAACGTAATGGCATTACTTAATTAAGTAATTAATTAAGTTAATTAACTTTTATATATGAAGAACACGGAGTAATTCATTCATAGTTGTGTTATTAACGTTAGAATATCCACACCTCAATATACTCCAAGATGCATACTGTAAGAAATCACGTCCGGAAATCTGTCATTATCCCCCGGTCTATTGATAAAAGGGGTGGTTATTCACAATGGCCCATATGCATAAAATGAAGCATATGCTTATACTTGAAAAATTCAAAGTAAATACTCGTAAGTGCCCCTTCACACTGCACCGCTGCACTCCGTCCCGTTCTGCTGCTCAGGTCCCTTTTATTCATATGGGCATTGAATAATATTATTATTCAATGATATGGGCCAAAGTGTATAAAAAGCATCGTTGAAAATAGTTATTTATATAACAAGAGCGCGAAGTTCAATTTCGCGCATTGAGACTGAAGGTATTTTGACGAGGCGAAGCCGAGTCAAAATATCAGTCAAATGACTTCGCGCTAGCGTTATATACAATATTTTTTCTACAACTGAACCGATTGTTAATTAAATTTGCTGTTTAAGTTCAACTTTGTCACGTGCGCGAGATACTTTTTTTCACTGTTGACGATTTCGCGCACGTTGTCAAGAGCAACCTTACTTATTAA